TGTTTTTTCAAAAAAATTCGTACATAATGGCGATTAAAATCTTTAATTCTTTACCCGACGAGTTTAAAAATTTCCCAATGACAAAGTTGAAAAACAAACTTCACGAATGGCTCTTACTTAACTGTTTTATACCGTTAATGAGTATTTTGATCATAAAAATCAAAACAAATTACGTATTTAATATCCGTATCTAAATTGCTTGAATTTTTTGCAGTAAGTTAATAAAATAAGACTTCGATAGAATAATTTTTAGTTGGTTGATTTTACTGTTTTTACATGTTAACATTTGTATTTTGACATTTTGTAAATGATTGTGTGATATTGTACTTCGTAATTATTCTTTTGACATTTATTTTATTATTAATTGGACATTTTTATTACTACTATTAGGACATAATTATATTAGACTAAAATTCATCAATAATTATTGTAAAGAAAAATGTATTGCAACTTATAACTATTCAGTTAAAATTTGCACGCCTTGATAAGGCAGAATGTATCGGAACTTTATGCTTTAATAATACTTTTGTAAGATCTACCTACATTCTAAGCAAATAAATAATTATGAATTATGAATTAAAACTCCTCGTCGCACACCGCCAAGCAAACAATCGACTACTTGGCGACGTCAGACGTGGAATTACTGGGTCATCCGCCCTATAGTCCCGACCTCGCACCTTGCGATTTTTATTTATTTCCGAAAATTAAAAAAACACTTCGAGAAAAACGTTTTTTGGACGCTGAGGAAGCAGCGGCTGCGTTTCAAAATGCCGTCGAAGAGACCCCTAAGGACGAGTGGGCAAAGTGCTTTTCTCAGTGGTTCCATCGGATGCAGCGATTTGTTGATGTAAATAGACACTATTTTGAAAAAAAAAATAAAACTAATAACTTGCTGATTTGTTCAGTTTTTTGATTTCGAAGAACTTTCAGTGTCACCCTCGTATTCAGGCACTTCATATGATACCACATTTGTCAAATTAGGATAAGTAGGTGGTTAGGAAATTATGAGGGAATCAGGGTACAGAGTAACATACATACATACGTATACATACATACCGGTTAAAATCATAACTCTCCATTGCCTCTATTACATGCTTGCGCTATCGAGCAAAACTACGCCTCGTGAAAAACAATTTTTAAAACGCTATTTTTCATACATATAAATGTTACCTAATTCCTCATAATATCTTGCATCGATTTTTCAAAAGACGGAAATGTTTCAAAAAACTTCTGAGCAAACTGTAGATGACTCCTGAGTATATCTGACCAATGAACCCGCCTAGCGAGATCTTGGCTTTCTATAAGAACTTATTTTTAACAAATTGTGTAATCTCTAGTAGATCTGTTTGTGGCTTTGTCTTAACATATAGTCTGAACAACTGGTTACTTCGCCTACGCCGATCCCAGATGTGGAGCATCATGTACCTTCCCTGTTGGACCTTCTGCTGACCTCTACAAAAACCATCCTATACAAACAATCTAAAACAATCCGGACGGATATCAGGTCTCCGTCGATACCCCTCTTGGTTCTTCGGACCATTGTCTGATCCGGAGTACGGTGCCACTCACGCTACCATCGCAGTTGCGATCTGCAGCTTGCCGCCGTATTTGGCACTATAGGTCGGCCGATTGGGACGGAATATGTGCTTTTTTTGCATCCTACTCTTGGGGCCAGGTTTGCTTCTCGCCGAATGATCCCAACGTTATAGCTGATTCTATCGCTGATGTTGTACTTCAGGGAATAGAATTATTTATTCCATCACCTGTAATGCCTATCGGAGGCAGAACTCAGCCATGGTTTGGTCGCTCCTGTAAAATAGCATCACGCTATAAGCAGGAGTGCTACCAGACCTGGGCTGACGCATCAACGTATCGCATCAACCCGGAATGTAAACCCCACGCGCGTTTAAAAAGAGGTATAATTCCGCCTCCAGGTCCTTCAAAAATGTCATTGCCAAGCTAAGTCAGAGCACATTGGCAGAATTGGCGAGAAGCTAGTTCGCCTCCCTTCGGGAACACTTGCATTCTGGTCTCTCGCCAAGGCTGTCCAAGGGAACTTCTGTCAGCCATCTCTGCCATCTCTGCACAGGGTGGATGACTCACTGGCCCATGAGGCAAAGGAGAAAGCCGATCTGTTGGCTCTCTTTTTGCTTCCAAATCGACTCTAGATGACGGGGGAACACACCGCCGACCATCCCGCGGTGTGAGTGCTCCATGCAGGAAATGCTGTTTACACAGTGCTCAGTGCGTAAAGCACTCCTCTCGATAGACGTCAGCAAGTCGAGTGGACCTGATAAAGTCCTACCTATTGTGCTGAAAACGTGTGCTCTCGGAGTTGGCACCGGTTTTATCGCTTCTTTTCCGGTACTCCTACAACCTATGTGTAGTCCCGAACTCATGGAAGACAGCTTTGGTGCACCCGATCCCTAAAAAAGGTGACCATCCAGATCCGTCCAACTACAGGCCTATCGCTATCACCTCGTTCTCCAAAGTAATGGAAACCATTATTAACTGCCAACTCATGCGGTACCTTGAGGATCACCAGCTGATTAGTGACCGCCACTACGGTTTCCGTCGAGGTCGCTCAGCTGGTGATCTTCTAGGTAACCTAACTCTTAGATGGGCGGAGGCAGTGGAGTCCGGGGGGGGAGGAGAAGCGTTGGCCGTTACTTTGGACATAGCGAAGGCCTTCGATCGGGCTTGGCACAAAGCGCTTCTTTCGAAGCTGTCTTCCTATGGGCTTCCTAAGAAATTGTACAATTGGAGCACAAGTTTTCTTGCAGATCGGAGCATCAAGGTAGTAGACGATGCATGCTCCGAATACAAGCCCATTAACGCTGGTGTTCCACAAGGCTGCGTGCTATCACTAACGCTGTTTCTTCTGCATTTCAATGATATGCGTGTACGAATCGGTAACATTCATTGCTATGCAAACGACAGCACTGGTGATGCTTTATTCTTTTTTTTTATTTAAAAATAACCACTTTGTCGTATCTCCTAAGTTTCAAGGCACTCCCCTTGTTGCCTTAGCCAGTATCGGAATCCTCGATGTCGACATATCGAGTGATGTGCAGTTTCGTGGTCACTTGGAAGAGAAAGCCAAATCGGTCTCTAAAAAGCTTGGCGTGCTCAGCAGAGCGGGACAGTATTTTATGCCTCACATGGAATACTGTTCCCACCTCTGGGCAGGGGCTCCCCAGTGCCAGCTCCTTCTACTTCTAGACCTTTCCAAGGCCTTCGACTGTGTTCACCATGAGACATTAATCAGGAAGCTACAGTACTATGGTGTCAAGAACACAACGCTTAAACTTATTATTTCATATTTAAGTAATAGAAAACAGAAGGTTATTATCAATGGTAAAAGTTCTTCCGGGTCACCTGTACTAATGGGTGTACCTCAGGGCTCGATTCTCGGCCCATTCCTGTTTCTGGTGTATATTAATGACTTACCTCACCTTGTAGGGGATAGTCATGATATAGTATTATTTGCTGATGATACTTCCTTGATTTTTAAACTTAAACGTCAATCATTTAAATGTGACGAAGTGAATAATGCTATATCAAAATTAGTGCATTGGTTTAACGTTAATAATCTGCATTTGAACGGAAATAAAACTAATTGTGTTAAATTTACAACAACGAATGTTTAAAATCTGAATACCAATGTGTTTTTAAATGGGGAGGAATTGAGCCCTGTTGTATCCACTGTTTTTCTTGGCATCACTCTTGACGCAAAGCTCCAGTGGGGCCCCCATATATCCAAATTAGCAAGCAGACTAAGTTCTGCAGCCTATGCTGTAAAAAAGATTAGAGGTCTCACTAGTGTCGAGACAGCTAGATTAGTTTATTTTAGTTATTTTCATAGCATAATGTCTTATGGGATTTTGCTATGGGGAAATGCGGGTGATTCAGAAACTATTTTTGTTTTACAGAAGAGGGCCATTAGAGCTATTTACAATCTAATACCGAGAGAGTCTCTTAGAGATAAATTTAAAGAAATTAATATATTAACTTTGGCCTCTCAGTATATTTACGAAAATTTAATGTATGTTCACAAAAACAAAGATAGTTTTAGTAAAAGAAGTGATATACATTCTGTAAACACTAGGAACAAACACAAGCTAGTGATACCAGTTTCTCGACTCCACAGAGTCAGTAATTCATTCTTGGGGCAATGTATACGCTATTACAACAAGGTCCCGGAAAGTGTACAGGTTCTGTCTATTACCAAGTTTAAATGTTTTATTAAGCTGAAACTGTATAAAAAGGGTTATTATAGTATAAATGAATACATGGTTGATAATAACCCCTGGGAATGAGGTGATCGCTTCCAAGCAGTTTCTAAAATAAATTTTGTAAATAGTTCGTAATCATTTATATTGTAAAATTTATTTAAAAAAAAGTCCCGCTGGGTTTCTTGCTGGTTCTTCCCAGGACAGAGGGTTTTTTTCGAACCAGTGGTAAAGTAAAAAATGACTTTCAATAAGAATTACACATGTAATGTATATTGAATAAAAAATATTCTATTCTATTCTATTCTACTTGACCGTATCCTGCGCAGAGCGGTTCGAATCGTCGACGACCGAGATCTTTCCGATCGGCTTGACTCACTGGCTCTGCGGGGAGTGCACTGAGGAATTGTTCGCACTAATTCCAGCCGCTCAATTTCACCATCGTACATCGCGATTAAATTCGCGATACCATCCATACCATCAGGATGATTGGCGGTGCACCACTGTGCGATTTAGAAGAAGTTTTCTTCCTGGCACAACTTCCTTGTGGAGAAAAAACTTCTTTATAGGAGAGGGGTTTCTTATAAAAAAAAACGCCTTACATTTTCGGTGGTTTTCAACACGGCGACGGCAGGAGATGTATTCATAGTGATAAGTTATAAGCTTCCTGATCTCATTTAATTATTTATAATTATGTATACAATACATCTGTATCAGTACTGGCCTTGTAAAATTTCCTCCGTATTCAAGTAATATTATAATTCACAGAAAACGGAAGTGGTGTTCGAGGTGTCGAACATGAAGGCGCGGCGCAAGCTGGTGTCGCCTGTGTCGCGGCAGCCGGCGCACGAGTCGCGGCGCGTGTGGCGCCACGTGACCGCCGCGCTGCGCGCCGCCGACACCGACGCCGCCACCGCCGCCAAGCGCCGCCTCGAGCAGCAGCAGCGCGACGGCGCCAAGCGCCGCGCCGACGCCGGCGACAAGTGGCTCACACAGGTACGGGTGCCCCGCGGCACGTGGCTCACACAGGCACAGTGCCCCGCGGCACGTGGCGCCACGTGACCGCCGCGCTGCGCGCCGCCGACACCGACGCCGCCACCGCCGCCAAGCGCCGCCTCGAGCAGCAGCAGCGCGACGGCGCCAAGCGCCGCGCCGACGCCGGCGACAAGTGGCTCACACAGGTACGGGTGCCCCGCGGCACGTGGCTCACACAGGCACAGTGCCCCGCGGCACGTGGCGCCACGTGACCGCCGCGCTGCGCGCCGCCGACACCGACGCCGCCACCGCCGCCAAGCGCCGCCTCGAGCAGCAGCAGCGCGACGGCGCCAAGCGCCGCGCCGACGCCGGCGACAAGTGGCTCACACAGGTACGGGTGCCCCGCGGCACGTGGCTCACACAGGCACAGTGCCCCGCGGCACGTGGCGCCACGTGACCGCCGCGCTGCGCGCCGCCGACACCGACGCCGCCACCGCCGCCAAGCGCCGCCTCGAGCAGCAGCAGCGCGACGGCGCCAAGCGCCGCGCCGACGCCGGCGACAAGTGGCTCACACAGGTACGGGTGCCCCGCGGCACGTGGCTCACACAGGCACAGTGCCCCGCGGCACGTGGCGCCACGTGACCGCCGCGCTGCGCGCCGCCGACACCGACGCCGCCACCGCCGCCAAGCGCCGCCTCGAGCAGCAGCAGCGCGACGGCGCCAAGCGCCGCGCCGACGCCGGCGACAAGTGGCTCACACAGGTACGGGTGCCCCGCGGCACGTGGCTCACACAGGCACAGTGCCCCGCGGCACGTGGCGCCACGTGACCGCCGCGCTGCGCGCCGCCGACACCGACGCCGCCACCGCCGCCAAGCGCCGCCTCGAGCAGCAGCAGCGCGACGGCGCCAAGCGCCGCGCCGACGCCGGCGACAAGTGGCTCACACAGGTACGGGTGCCCCGCGGCACGTGGCTCACACAGGCACAGTGCCCCGCGGCACGTGGCGCCACGTGACCGCCGCGCTGCGCGCCGGCGACACCGACGCCGCCACCGCCGCCAAGCGCCGCCTCGAGCAGCAGCAGCGCGACGGCGCCAAGCGCCGCGCCGACGCCGGCGACAAGTGGCTCACACAGGTACGGGTGCCCCGCGGCACGTGGCTCACACAGGCACAGTGCCCCGCGGCACGTGGCGCCACGTGACCGCCGCGCTGCGCGCCGCCGACACCGACGCCGCCACCGCCGCCAAGCGCCGCCTCGAGCAGCAGCAGCGCGACGGCGCCAAGCGCCGCGCCGACGCCGGCGACAAGTGGCTCACACAGGTACGGGTGCCCCGCGGCACGTGGCTCACACAGGCACAGTGCCCCGCGGCACGTGGCGCCACGTGACCGCCGCGCTGCGCGCCGCCGACACCGACGCCGCCACCGCCGCCAAGCGCCGCCTCGAGCAGCAGCAGCGCGACGGCGCCAAGCGCCGCGCCGACGCCGGCGACAAGTGGCTCACACAGGTACGGGTGCCCCGCGGCACGTGGCTCACACAGGCACAGTGCCCCGCGGCACGTGGCGCCACGTGACCGCCGCGCTGCGCGCCGCCGACACCGACGCCGCCACCGCCGCCAAGCGCCGCCTCGAGCAGCAGCAGCGCGACGGCGCCAAGCGCCGCGCCGACGCCGGCGACAAGTGGCTCACACAGGTACGGGTGCCCCGCGGCACGTGGCTCACACAGGCACAGTGCCCCGCGGCACGTGGCGCCACGTGACCGCCGCGCTGCGCGCCGCCGACACCGACGCCGCCACCGCCGCCAAGCGCCGCCTCGAGCAGCAGCAGCGCGACGGCGCCAAGCGCCGCGCCGACGCCGGCGACAAGTGGCTCACACAGGTACAGTGCCCCGCGGCACGTGGCTCACACAGGCACAGTGCCCCGCGGCACGTGGCGCCACGTGACCGCCGCGCTGCGCGCCGCCGACACCGACGCCGCCACCGCCGCCAAGCGCCGCCTCGAGCAGCAGCAGCGCGACGGCGCCAAGCGCCGCGCCGACGCCGGCGACAAGTGGCTCACACAGGTACGGGTGCCCCGCGGCACGTGGCTCACACAGGCACAGTGCCCCGCGGCACGTGGCGCCACGTGACCGCCGCGCTGCGCGCCGCCGACACCGACGCCGCCACCGCCGCCAAGCGCCGCCTCGAGCAGCAGCAGCGCGACGGCGCCAAGCGCCGCGCCGACGCCGGCGACAAGTGGCTCACACAGGTACGGGTGCCCCGCGGCACGTGGCTCACACAGGCACAGTGCCCCGCGGCACGTGGCGCCACGTGACCGCCGCGCTGCGCGCCGCCGACACCGACGCCGCCACCGCCGCCAAGCGCCGCCTCGAGCAGCAGCAGCGCGACGGCGCCAAGCGCCGCGCCGACGCCGGCGACAAGTGGCTCACACAGGTACAGTGCCCCGCGGCACGTGGCTCACACAGGCACAGTGCCCCGCGGCACGTGGCTCACACAGGCACAGTGCCCCGCGGCACGTGGCTCACACAGACACAGTGCCCCGCGGCACGTGGCTCACACAGGTACAGTGCCCCGCGGCGCGTGGCTCACACAGGTACAGGTCCCCGCGGCACGTGGCTCACACAGGCACAGTGCCCCGCGGCACGTGGCTCACACAGGCACAGTGCCCCGCGGCACGTGGCGCCACGTGACCGCCGCGCTGCGCGCCGCCGACACCGACGCCGCCACCGCCGCCAAGCGCCGCCTCGAGCAGCAGCAGCGCGACGGCGCCAAGCGCCGCGCCGACGCCGGCGACAAGTGGCTCACACAGGTACGGGTGCCCCGCGGCACGTGGCTCACACAGGCACAGTGCCCCGCGGCACGTGGCGCCACGTGACCGCCGCGCTGCGCGCCGCCGACACCGACGCCGCCACCGCCGCCAAGCGCCGCCTCGAGCAGCAGCAGCGCGACGGCGCCAAGCGCCGCGCCGACGCCGGCGACAAGTGGCTCACACAGGTACGGGTGCCCCGCGGCACGTGGCTCACACAGGCACAGTGCCCCGCGGCACGTGGCGCCACGTGACCGCCGCGCTGCGCGCCGCCGACACCGACGCCGCCACCGCCGCCAAGCGCCGCCTCGAGCAGCAGCAGCGCGACGGCGCCAAGCGCCGCGCCGACGCCGGCGACAAGTGGCTCACACAGGTACGGGTGCCCCGCGGCACGTGGCTCACACAGGCACAGTGCCCCGCGGCACGTGGCGCCACGTGACCGCCGCGCTGCGCGCCGCCGACACCGACGCCGCCACCGCCGCCAAGCGCCGCCTCGAGCAGCAGCAGCGCGACGGCGCCAAGCGCCGCGCCGACGCCGGCGACAAGTGGCTCACACAGGTACGGGTGCCCCGCGGCACGTGGCTCACACAGGCACAGTGCCCCGCGGCACGTGGCGCCACGTGACCGCCGCGCTGCGCGCCGCCGACACCGACGCCGCCACCGCCGCCAAGCGCCGCCTCGAGCAGCAGCAGCGCGACGGCGCCAAGCGCCGCGCCGACGCCGGCGACAAGTGGCTCACACAGGTACGGGTGCCCCGCGGCACGTGGCTCACACAGGCACAGTGCCCCGCGGCACGTGGCGCCACGTGACCGCCGCGCTGCGCGCCGCCGACACCGACGCCGCCACCGCCGCCAAGCGCCGCCTCGAGCAGCAGCAGCGCGACGGCGCCAAGCGCCGCGCCGACGCCGGCGACAAGTGGCTCACACAGGTACGGGTGCCCCGCGGCACGTGGCTCACACAGGCACAGTGCCCCGCGGCACGTGGCGCCACGTGACCGCCGCGCTGCGCGCCGCCGACACCGACGCCGCCACCGCCGCCAAGCGCCGCCTCGAGCAGCAGCAGCGCGACGGCGCCAAGCGCCGCGCCGACGCCGGCGACAAGTGGCTCACACAGGTACGGGTGCCCCGCGGCACGTGGCTCACACAGGCACAGTGCCCCGCGGCACGTGGCGCCACGTGACCGCCGCGCTGCGCGCCGCCGACACCGACGCCGCCACCGCCGCCAAGCGCCGCCTCGAGCAGCAGCAGCGCGACGGCGCCAAGCGCCGCGCCGACGCCGGCGACAAGTGGCTCACACAGGTACGGGTGCCCCGCGGCACGTGGCTCACACAGGCACAGTGCCCCGCGGCACGTGGCGCCACGTGACCGCCGCGCTGCGCGCCGCCGACACCGACGCCGCCACCGCCGCCAAGCGCCGCCTCGAGCAGCAGCAGCGCGACGGCGCCAAGCGCCGCGCCGACGCCGGCGACAAGTGGCTCACACAGGTACGGGTGCCCCGCGGCACGTGGCTCACACAGGCACAGTGCCCCGCGGCACGTGGCGCCACGTGACCGCCGCGCTGCGCGCCGCCGACACCGACGCCGCCACCGCCGCCAAGCGCCGCCTCGAGCAGCAGCAGCGCGACGGCGCCAAGCGCCGCGCCGACGCCGGCGACAAGTGGCTCACACAGGTACGGGTGCCCCGCGGCACGTGGCTCACACAGGCACAGTGCCCCGCGGCACGTGGCGCCACGTGACCGCCGCGCTGCGCGCCGCCGACACCGACGCCGCCACCGCCGCCAAGCGCCGCCTCGAGCAGCAGCAGCGCGACGGCGCCAAGCGCCGCGCCGACGCCGGCGACAAGTGGCTCACACAGGTACGGGTGCCCCGCGGCACGTGGCTCACACAGGCACAGTGCCCCGCGGCACGTGGCGCCACGTGACCGCCGCGCTGCGCGCCGCCGACACCGACGCCGCCACCGCCGCCAAGCGCCGCCTCGAGCAGCAGCAGCGCGACGGCGCCAAGCGCCGCGCCGACGCCGGCGACAAGTGGCTCACACAGGTACGGGTGCCCCGCGGCACGTGGCTCACACAGGCACAGTGCCCCGCGGCACGTGGCGCCACGTGACCGCCGCGCTGCGCGCCGCCGACACCGACGCCGCCACCGCCGCCAAGCGCCGCCTCGAGCAGCAGCAGCGCGACGGCGCCAAGCGCCGCGCCGACGCCGGCGACAAGTGGCTCACACAGGTACAGTGCCCCGCGGCACGTGGCTCACACAGGCACAGTGCCCCGCGGCACGTGGCTCACACAGGCACAGTGCCCCGCGGCACGTGGCTCACACAGACACAGTACCCCGCGGCACGTGGCTCACACAGGTACAGTGCCCCGCGGGACGTGACTCACACAGGTACAGTGCCCCGCGGGACGTGACTCACACAGGTACAGTGCCACGCGGCACGTGGCTCACACAGGTACAGTGCCCCGCGGCACGTGGCTCACACAGGTACAGTGCCCCGCGGCACATGGCTCACACAGGTACAGTGCCACGCGGCACGCGGCTCACACAGGTACAGTGCCTCGCGGCACGTGGCTCACACAGGTACAGTGCCACGCGGCACGCGGCTCACACAGGTACAGTGCCTCGCGGCACGTGGCTCACACAGGTACACTGCCCCGCGGCACGTGGCTCACACAGGTACAGTGCCACGCGGCGCGTGGCACACACAGGTACAGTGCCCCGCGGCACGTGGCTCACACAGGTACAGTGCCCCGCGGCACGTGACTCGCACAGGTACAATGCCATCCTAATCCTAAAAAGTCTAAACCCTAAAAAGAGCTTTTGGTCAGTTTGTGTTTAATAATTTCTGTACGACACTATCCAATTGCAACATCTAATACCCCATTTCGTCCCGTTAATGTGTTAAGAGATGGCTATGGGAAATAACAGATGTTATAGCCTTCGATGGATATCGGCGTAACCATAACTTTATGCCAGGCGTACTACCGTAGTCATATCCGACGATGAAGAATAGCGTTAAAGGGTTGGGACGTCTGTAACTACGATCGTTGATCCACCTGCAGAACGTAATGATTCAAGCAAACTCTTTCGACAACGAGAGAGGACTTAGTCCAGCAGTGAACTTTGAAGAATTGATAAAGAACTAGATATCACAAAGAATTACTATCTGTCCAGCATTTTTTTTATAGAAGAGGGGGCAAACGAGCATGCTGCTCACCTGATGGTAAGTGACTATCGCCGCCCATGAACAACTGCAACACCAGGGGAATTGCAGATGCGTTGCCAGCCTTTTTTTCTTGAAGATCCTTAATTCGTATCGGTCCGGAAAAATCACTGGTGGTAATCGATTCCACAAGGAAGTTGTGCGAGGGAGAAAACTTCTTCTAAATCGCACAGTGGTCGACCGCCAATCATCCAGATGATATCGCGAGTTTTGTCGCGATCATCACTAGTTAGATCAAAAATTTCCCTGAGTATAAATAGAAAAGGGGTCTAAATAGTAATTATTTATTTCAGTTATTCAGCCCGAAAGGCGAAGAGGGTTGGGAGTACAATACACCGCTCAAGAAACGTCTAGACACATCAAAAGGCACACCGCAACGGAAGCCTGCGAACAATGCTGAAGGCCCCAGATAATAGCACTTCGACTAATTATGGACTTTAAAAGCTAGGTTCTAAGGTAGAATTTCCTACGCCACAGTTTATCTGAATTTTTTTATTAAACAGTCTATGACAATTTTGTGACGCACCAACGCTTAGAGAAGTTACGCTGTTACGGATTTCCGCCGTAGTTTGTTTGAACTTTGGATGGATTAAGTGAGTTGTCTTGAGTATGTTCATTGAAATGACATTTATGTCAAATGTTTCAAGATCAGTTAACAAAACTCATTTATTATAATGACCCTTAGCTTAGGACCGCTGGACTGTGTCGGTTACTCCGGTTCTACTACGGATATCTTCATTACCAATTCTAACACACAGTGAAACTCCGAGCACAGCCCTCTGCTTAACTTACTGAGCTTCCTCATACAGGAGCTGAAGTAACAATGAGAACCGGCAACTGAAGCGTTATTGTAAAGTTATCGAGTCCTCTGCTGAACATAAGCGTTCCCCATAAAACACTGCCCTGAACTCTCTACATCCATCGACTTATTGCATGTCTTACCAGGTTATTACTGCATCTAGTGGGGGGGCCAATAGAGTACACTCCAATTACTGATAATGAGCTGCCACTGGAGAACCTCTCTTCCCAGCTGTCTGTTCTTCGACATATATGGCCGATCTATTGCCACTTGAGTTTACTGATCCGTTGGACTACGCCAGTTACTTTGGTTCTAGTAGTATCACCGTCACGAATGGCTCTGTTTATTCGGTTTAAGCACAGGATTACCTCAGTTTATTCAAAGGCACCGTGTTAAACTTTAAAGGTCTCTAAACTCAATCACCACACCATACCTAACTACGTGAGCATACTCAAGCAACTAAGCAATGACTCTATATAATAGTTGTCTTGCATCTGTAAATATGGTTAAAGTCAAATTTCATTCTTACTGCAATTGCATTAAAGTACTAAATCGTGTGAAAAACTTAAAAATTGTGATGAACGTATGTATACGTGGGAATTCCTTTAAGATTGGGTTAAGTTTTATTTGTCGACTGTCATTAAGGCCTATTTTTATGAAAGTGAGCAATAAATTTGTAAATATTCCCATCATATTATATTTTATTTTTACGTTTCTGCAGAGCACGGGCCTCCACTCAGCCTAGGGAGGTTTTTGGTACAGATAAGACTGGTTCTTGTTCTAGCTCCTCACTTGTTCTAGATTATCTATATTTGTAATGTCAAAAGCATACAGGCATTTTGAATCGACACACGTGGTTGACTAATAATAATATTAAGTATTATAATAAACTTAATTTCACAACCACTTTACAATGAGACTAAAAATTGCAACTAACAGTTTCATTAGTTTGCTCGCGAACAATTGCATTTATTGTTGTATTAAAAAAGATGAAGGTGATCGGATGGAGGAAACTGATAATGAAGAAATCACTTCAAGTTTTCTTTAAGTAACTAATTTTAGGTAATCCACGGAGCATAAGATGTGAAATGACAACAGTGTAAGAACTGAATCAGTTCTTAAAATTCTTGTATTTTTAAAAGGTTTCTAAATTATATAAATTTTTTTTTAAGATTAAATATGACAAACACAGTCCACCTCATGGTAAGTGGATTCTTTGGATCTTCATCAATTATCGAGAATAATCAAAATCTCTAATAATAATAATACGTTGTCACCCCTGAGGACTGAGATTAAATGCCTCGTTTCCAGTAAATAGAGTATTCGGTTCTCTACACTCACTATACGAAACAAAGCAACACTGAGCTGCTATTTTACGCTGGTATTATGTGAGAGTGTGGTTATTCTTAGGTCGAGCCGACCAATTCGTGATACGTTACAACTATAATATAGCTTCAAGAATAAATTGCTTATTAAAAACGCTTAATTTCTTAAAGCCAAAACGAAGCATAGTCAATTAAAAACAGATTTGTAAATGTTTTGAGTGTGGAAAAGGAGACGGGCGAAATCTGAATATTAATCAATATTTTATATTTTAGATTTTTTATAGTTAATCATAAAATATTATGCAGTTTTATTATGGCATAAGAAATTAAATATTTAATCAAACTAATGCTGACTTCCCTTATTTTCACTTTTAAATATTGCCAGATGAAATAGATAAGTTAATCAATATCAATACAAAAATAGAAAAAAAAATAAACATAAAAAGTGATACAGTGTTTTATTCTTTAGATAAGTTTAAAAAAACTTATTTTTAAATAATGGTTTCCTCGTGACACTTCAACGATTAATAAATCGATTTTACAATCGATTATCAATGTTTTAATATACTGGCCACAAAGCGGAACTAGTGTCAATATCAGGTCAAAAACTCAAACGTCAATCAAATCATTTGCTTCGTGCGTTTCGCTCTGAGTTTGAGGCAGTAGTGGATCTTTTCTGTTCTATTCTGTTTTCGTGTGAAAAAGAACTGTAGGCTACTACTGTTGTCATGTAATGTTCATAATATGGTACCTAAGCTGGGCAGGGCATCAAGACAATTTAATACCGCCTGCACAGTTTATAGACGATATTTTAATTGTTTATGATGATGTGGACGATGAATAAATCATTAAAAGAGATGTTTTTAATTCATATTCCTTCTGCTTTTTTATAATTATCTCAAACCTCTAGAATTTAGTTGGATGGCGTTTGAATCTTCAATGTGTCCTACATTAAATTCTGATCAATTCTAGTTTACAATAAAGTTGATAATTATATTCTTAAAGTGTAACGCGAGAGCTCGGTGTAAGAATAACTTAGAGAAGTAACAACGTTGTTTTTATAGAAACCAATAACATCCTATTTTTTTTTCTATCATGGAGGTGTCGTAAACATTTTAGTTTTTTTTAAATGGTATGAATATACAAATAAAATAATGCAGTAATCGTTACTGTTACATCCGGCCGAACTTTCTATGAACTTTCGCCCATCTCCTTTGGATAACATCTATACATAAACCTTTTTAACGTTTAAGTAATTATCCCACGTTCTGCACATGACCAAAATGCTCTTTATCGTGACATGGTTTTTCAGTAGACTACAGATCTCGACACATTTATTCATACCTGTCAATCCCCTCAGATTCTGTATCCCTTGCATGGTATTCAAATTCGACTAGAAATAGTAAATATGAAAATAGTCAACATAAATTCGTGATCTGGAATACAAATGTTACATATCTATTTAATTATATATCGATTAAAAATACATTAACTGCATATTGATAACCCATGTAAGCTTTACACCATGAAGTCAAGGTTGATTTGATCGATATTCGGATAACTTTGGTGTGTGTACCCTTTAAGTTAAATTGATTTTCTTTAAAAATACTATGAACCTTATCTTGTACCTACATATAATTCATATCATTAAGAAATCCATTTTACTTTTAGGCACTTGAAGTAAGTTGCTCTGAGGATTCTTAGTACGTACAATAAACATTTGAACTACACGCTTTATAATTCAGAAATTGTACAAAATTAAAGTAGAACCCTGATCTGAATATAAATAAATTATTAAAATGTTAACTATAATCAAAAGTATAAATTAGTTTCCTAGAATAATGTATTTAACAAATGTCACTTTTATATGGTAATAGAATATATTTTCTAAAAAAAATATTCATCAACCTTGGTTTATTGTACTTCTATTCCATAGCATACTATTGAAAAAACCTTTATAGTTCCGACTGTGTTAAACGAAAATCTTTCTTATTATTTTTGTATTTAAACTGAAAATCAATACATATTAAACACTTACATAATATCAAACTCACAAGAAATGTAATGTAACACTGTAAACTTTAAATCTATATTGTTACGAGCTTGGGGTTCGAGACAATTAAAAACTGACTAGAAGGATCTTAACTCTCCTAGTTCTGCTACTCGATACTAGAAGGCGCTAATGGTAACTAGTGTCGCCATGTACCATGCATTAATTGTGGCGCGCAACAATATCAATATTGACTCTAGTACCGACCGCGTCGCAACTTCGCTATATGATGAAAAAGACTGAAATACTCGACGACATACGACACTAGAGAGATCGTGAAGTTACATGCGAAATGTTGGATTATATCCCATCACATAGACTTATTTAATTTACATAGCTATAATTACAATGTTGTATATTTAAATAAAGATTTAAATTATTTCTTTTAATTTTATTTATAGTCCAAGATCCCAGAACTAACAGACGTCATTTATTTTCTGTCGAACGATATGTGTAGTAGTGTTAGTATTAAAAATATTACTCAATTTCACTTACATTCTGAAGCTCCATTTTTATATATGTTACCCAGACAACTATTTTAAAACGTTTTATAAGAAGGCACACCGACCCACCGGGTCAATCATCCCCTAGATATTAATACATGTCTCTCTCACGCCCATGCGCGCGGGTAATACCCTCGCGCTCACATCCACAACGGAATTAAAATTGCTTCTAGGAGATGGTTGGCTCCTTGTATCGGTCTTATCGGCCTTCTTGTAAAACGTTTTAAAATTGTTGTCTGGCTAACATATATAAAAATGGAGCTTCAGAATATAAGTGAAATTAAGTCATTTTTGAGAGCTTTAAAGCGTCTGCTTATGACTGATATTTAACGATATTTTCTAACATTTACTTACAAAAATGGTGGGAGAATTAACGTGAGGTCAGTAATGTTTTCACGTACCTTAATTACCTGATACCTGGAAAATGGCCGTCTGGCCAAGCTAGCACGTAACCCTGAGAACTTGCTTTGTTAGATTATTGGGACTATTAAAATCCCGTCTAGTAGAGGCTTATGAATATATATCCCCTCTTTAGTCCCGTGCCGTAAGATGCGACTATGGGATGTCCCAAAAAGATCTAAACTATCGTGTTTATGCCAAACGTAGATTAGTCTAACCGGTGGCAGGCCGGAATAACAAAGATGCAAAACGTCCTATATCTGTCAAGCGTGGCGATGAAATCCTCCGTACAGTGGGAGATATCTGGAACATAGGTATGTTCAACATTGGATTTTAAGGGTTGGTGATGATGATGCCAATGGTTGTTAATGATGTCCATTAATCAATGGGTACAACGCTACACTACATTTGCGAGAGACTGTCTCAGTTCAGTACCGTCAGTAAATAGACGGAGTATTCGAGATTATCAATGTTGCAATCGCTAGTGCCGAATGAAATTCATTCGGCACTAGCGACTGGCTTTTTCTGGCATTTCGTTTTTTAGAGTTCAATACCACATTCATCATCATCATAATCATCCCATGTATATTGCCACAAAACTCGGCATCCTCTTTATGGCAATCCAGGGTGATTCAACTGTGTTTGAAATCCGAGAAACTTGCACAATCATGATTTTATCTATACGTGTGGATTGGGCGTATAAAATTAAAGCGAGAAAAAGATATCGCTGTTTCTTTCTTTCGATTTGTTTCAGATTGCCATTTTAAAAATTAGATACTAAAATACATATTATATCGGAATAAACTGAAAATGTTAATTCTATGTTAAACTTCATTTTAGTTGCTCATTAGAGTACAATTACATACCTACCTATTAGTCTGAGATTATGAATTTTACGTCAACTGGTGGCAAACATCTTAACTAGTTGGGATCGTTTATCACATTTTAAGACGTGATTTATTTTTTAACAATTATTAGTAAAATATATTAATCTTGTCGTCAAAAACTTCGAGCATAGTGTTCCCAAGATCTGCCTATATAGTTGTAAAATTTATAGAATTAAGGTAAAAAAGAAGCACACAGTCCACGTGATACTAAGTGGATGCTGTAGGCCATAGACATCATCCATTCTCGATTAAAAATCAAAATGCAGATGCATTGTCACTTCTGAGAACTAAGATTACATATCTCGTTTCCAGTAAAAAGGTTCTCCGATTCTCTACACTAACCATGCAAAACACAGCAACATTAAACTGCTATTTTACGCTGGAATTTTGTATGAGTGGTCCTTCCCCGGTCGATTCGACCCATTGAGCATGATATAGCATAACCTCGTAAGACCCAATGTGATCAAAGAAGTACTTAATAATTTGTGTTTTGGCCCAATTCCAAAAAATGTTGTCATCAAAATTACCGCCTACTGTCAGCTACTGAGGACAAATTATATTTATTGGTTGCGTCGTCATGGTGAGTTTTCATCTTGATCTATTTAATAAATCCATTTATTTTTGCAACAAATCATTTATAATTACGAAATCAAGATTTAATTTCACATAAATATTGTGTTATTTATCCATGCCATGCTGTGCATAAAAAATATTTAGATTTAAAATAATATGTGATCGGGCAATCACATGGGGCGGTAGTTACAATTACAGTAATCATTTATTTGGTACTAGCTTTTTAAATTGTTGCGTGCTACCATCTGCTAAGGACCCCATAATTAATAAAATTAAATTCAAACTACTACTGCATTTATCCTATTCTATTTTAACGATGACATCAGGTCGTCAAACACCTCAGTTCTCCAGTCCCTCCCGTAACCATGGTTGCTGTAAAGTGCCCAAAACATCGGGAATTTGAAAAGTTAAAATTAAACGCAATAAATTCCTTAAAATTAGTTTTATTCCTTATATACATTTTATTCACAGTGAACGTGAGGAGCACTACAGCCATGAACAGGAGTAAAAAAATGTTCGCCCTGTTGTGGCGGTGAAATAAAATCCACCACCTCATATCGTTCCGTCGTAAGAGGTGACATATGAAAACAAACTGAAGATGGGATGAGCTGAACTTTAGCAAATATCCAGCTACTTGACAATTAATGGGGGAGGCCTATATTAAGTTCAGTGGACTTTTGATAGGCTGACGATAATGAGTTATACTCATCTTTGCAAGCCTTAATATTTACGGCAGAGTGAAAACAAAAAGTAACATGCCCTAAAACACGAATGAAATAAAAACTGCATATATTGCCCCATGAAAAGTAAAAAAGCAGCAGCTTACATACATGTTACTACTGGGTACAGGCCGCAGAGTTTTGGCCAAAAAAGTGTTCGCTGCGCTGATTCCAACGCGGGATGAATGTAATGTAAATGATTCAATTATTTACATCATGACTTCCCATTTTAGTTTATTTAGAAGTAAGTAGGTGGCGCTAATATTAGATGAAATAATGAAAGCCAAAACTATACCATCTAGTAATATCAGCAATAGAAGCGAACATTTATTTATTATATCAATAAGGAATAAATTGATGTCAATTCTATTAAAATTTCTGTTAAAAAATGCGCTATCAGCGCCGGTAGCGGTGAAAAACGATTTAATGATATCGTCATATGCCCATATTATGAAATAGCAACATTGTGTTTAGTTATTAATATCTTCAAACGATTTCTATTCATTGATTTAGTCAAGCTATAGTGTCAACAAATAGTGTTAAATATCATGAAATGACCCCACCATTTCACGAAATGACTACTTTATGATATATTATCAATTCTACGATCTGGCCACGACATACATAAAAATCTGTTTAATAAAACTATAATGATAATGAAAATTTTGCAACAATTGCAGACAGACCGGTTTTAATCACTTTACATATATATTAGTAATTGAAATAAATACCTTATCAATTTTCATATTTTTGATATACGTCACCATTATCTATTGAAATTACACTTTTAAAATAAAATAACAAAAATACTAAAAAAAATTAAACGTAGAGTTTTTTAATAATTTTAAAAATCTAATCTTTTAATTATATAAATGTAAGTTATTTATATTATTTCATTTATTAGTAACTGAAAGCAAAATATACTACTTTTTCCGTTTGATGATAGATGGCGCTGTTTTGAATACCAAATCGGTGTAGTTTTTAGTTATTTTACCAAGATTATAACTATATGTTAAACTTTATTTACAAATATGGTTTTTATTTGAAAAACACTCGTCATCCCGCCTATAACTAAGATATAATAGCTAAATTAACATCTAAAGGAAATAGAATACATAACCTTGCTTTTTTGAAGTTCCGTAATCGGATAAAAAGTACCCTATAAGTTGCCCCGGGTTACTCACTACCTATATACAAAATTTCATGTTAATCGGTTCAGTAGTTTTTGCGTGAATCCGGAATACACAGACAGACAGACAGACAGAAAGACAGACAGACAGAGAGACAAAAATTTTAAAAACCACTAATTTAGCTTCAGAACCCTTTATTTAGTCCCCTGGACTTATTTTTTCAAGAATATATTAGAATTACAGACACGACTTTTCTACAGATTTATTATATGTATAGATTAAACTCTATAGGGTCTTCGGAGTGACGACCTGTTAAGATATGCAGGAAGTCGATGGATGCAGGTGGCTTAGGACCGTGCTTTGTGGCATTCTTTGGGGGAGGCCTATGTTCAGCAGTGGACTTGTGAGGGGCTGTAATGATGATGATAATGATATTGACCTCAAGACCTACCCGTTTAAAACACTTATGGTTGTTGAGCATAGTGCTAAGGCTAAGGTCCTCCAGGGATTCTGCAGTCATGACTATATCGTTGTGGCCTAATACTGGTTCATCAATCAATGCAAACATAAAATGAAACAATTTTATTGCATATTATTTTTTATTATAGATTCGTTTTTTTTTTAATACAATGGTCGCATATGAAATACTTAAAACGCAGTGAAACGTGCATCAGAGAGACAAACATAAATTGCAATAGCTTTTAGGGCTGATTTTGAATCGCCAGATAAAAGATAATCAACAAATAAACTAAAACGTGACTGAACATTAAAGAGAAACAAGTGCATTGGGTGTGACAGAGAGAAACACGTGACTGAACATTAAAGAGAAACAATGCACTTGCATTAGGTAGGTATATTTTATGGATACAACTGTAATTTTTATTTTTATTTTGTTACATTTTATACTAGGAATAACATTTATCCGAGGGTTTAAAAATCAGCTTTTAGAATGTTAATAACGAAGATCAATAATCGTTCACAACTCAAACGCAAGTTTAATCATACGTTCATGGAAATTGTCAAAACTCGTTCAGAAATTCGTTATATAATATTTGAAATAAGTAGCCTTTTTAATACCTGTACAATACTAGCAGTTTTAGCTTCAAGAAAGCACATTAATCGCATCAAAAATTTTACATTTTGAATAGCAAGGAATCCGTTTCTAGCGCCTGTCAATAAATGCGTGTGTGGCGATTAGCCAGTATCTGATCGTTCGGTATTTTCAACTTTTTTTTCAATGAAAACTTAATTTTAATTTCGATAAAATAAATCACCAGTATCAAGCGGATTTTGGCGATTTTATATAATTCATAGCCTTTTCTAGCGGCGACATACGGCATCGCGATCCACTAATAAGTATCGACGCTTTAGCAGTCAAGACGCGGAAGTTCGTCTGCTCAAAGTTCATCTGATCGTAGAGGAAACGCGACTGTCGGTCGCTCAGAATCCATACATTGCCCTCTGGGTCCACCTTAAACACGGACACAAGAGATCGGTTTTTTAGATATATTTTTTACCTGATGGTAAAATTGGTCAAGAGACAATAAGCACTACCTTTCAATTTGTCCTTGATTAAGGGTAGTTAAAATGTATTAAATCTGATGGTATAGGGGCGGTGTAAAAATATCCAATACCCCATATTGTCTTGTGGTTGTCGTAAGAGGCGGCAGTGAAAAACAAAACAGGAGATGGCCAGCAGCGTCTTCTTAACAACTAGTAGAAAATAAAAAAAACTGGGGTTGCCATCCCATCAAATAACTTTTATGAAGCAATTTTTGTGGAGATAGATATGTTCTGCAGCGGACATGATAAGTTGTAATTAATGAAAAAAAATATTTAGAATAAATCCATTTACTCGTTACCCTCATGATCAGCGTTAATTATTAAATTAAGCGCTACATTGCTTATGAGGTTAGGGACGAAGAATGAGTACTTCTATGATGTACTTTGCATACTTTGACGATTCCTATTTATGCCATCGGAATAAGTATAGTAAGTTTTATTTCTTTATTACAACCGGCTGCTGCGGACTGCGGCACGAATGGGTTGGCTTGACCGCGGAAGACCCACGCTCTCACAGGACACAGACGTAAAATAGCAACGCTGCTTAATGCTGCTGTGTTTCGTATGGTGAGTGTAAAGAACCGGAGACCCTTTTTACTGGAAACGAGGAATTCGATCTTAGTCCTCAGGATTGATAATGCATCTCTGCATTTTGTTTTTTTTTATTGAGGACAGGTGTAGATGTCTATGGACACAGCATCCACTTACCATCAAATGGACTGTGTGCACGTTTGTGACCCTTATTTTATAAAATAAGAAAATAAAGAGGCGGGAGAGACGAAATAAGGTTCTCAAACAAACTTTCGGGGATGCTTTAGACTTTTTATACATAGATAATACTAATGTCTGTATTTGGTATCTTCAGACCAATATGTAACATTTTTTATCCCGTCCTGCTGGCTTTAATATAATTAGTGGTTAATTACATATATTTCATATTAGATTGAATCGATAACAATGTATCAATCTGTTACATATTGACCGACATGGTCACAATCAGTTGAACTGGACGCCAGGCGCGGTCCAAACGGGTGGGTCACAGGGGACAAGACCCCCCCCCCCCCCCTCCAAATCATGCACGTCATATTGAACAATCTAAAAATTTACAAAATAAACAAAAAACTTCTTAATGTGAAGAAAGTATCAGAATATTATTCTCATTTCTCGAGTATACCTGCTGACACTCTCGTTACAGAGTATCAGCTAAGGATTTCATAGTGGAAACAGGAGCTCAAAGAAAACACTGATATAAAATTTCCTAAGTGTGTGGTTTCTACAATCGAAGTTTGCGACGATGATCTCTACCCAAACATAAAGACTGCTGAAAATTCTGGCAACTCTTCCTATAAGCGGTGCGACATCAGAGAAGTAATTTTCTACGCGTGTAAGTAAGGCGTGTAAAAACTTTGTTGAGAGCAAACATATTAGAAGGGAGGCTGACAGGTTTAGCTCTTCTAAATATTCATCCAAAGAAAGCCCCAGACGTCTCAAATACGAGGGTGGATTGAAAAGTACTCGGCCTAACACAGATCCATTCAATTCTAAAAATCAAATCTACCCACATTATTTAGTCCAGTTCAGACTAGTTCATTGTGTGAAGTTCGAAACGTGTGCGATAATTAGTTGTGATTTTATAAATTTATTAACAAAGTAATCGGACATAATTTCCGCGAATGGAGCAAATCGAGCAGCGTGCCGTCATTAAGTACCTCCATAAGAAGGGGCTATCATCAAAAGCCATCCATGATGACATGGTCAGTACATTAGGCGATTGTGCTCTGTCATATTCATCCGTCAAAAAATGGATAGCAGAATTTAAGCGTGGTAGAGAGAGTGTGAAAGATGAACCCCGCTCTGGAAGGCCTTCGACGTCAACTACTGACGAAAATATTAAAAAAGTACTTGATTTAATAATGGGAGACCGCAGATTAAAAATTAGAGAGATAGCCGAGATTATAGGCATCTCTTATGAACGAACTCAAAACATCATTGTTAACGAGTTGGGTTTCCACAAGGTGTCTGCGAGGTGGGTTCCGCGACTGCTTTCAGTTGAACAAAAAAGGACGCGATTGACTATTTCACGCGACTGTTTGGAGTTATTTGAAGCCGATGCAGATGATTTTTTGAATCGTTTTGTTACTATGGACGAAACATCGGTTCATTACTGTACACCGGAAACAAAACAACAATCAAAACAGTGGAGAAGACCTGGTTCACCACCCCCTAAAAAGGCTAAGTCGATTTTGTCGGCAAATAAGGTGATGGCTTCAGTATTCTGGGACTCGAAAGGTGTGATTATGATTGATTATCTTGAAAGGGGTCAGAATATAAACTCTGATTACTACTGCACCTTACTACGTCGTTTACGAGAGGAAATAAAAGAAAAACGTCGAGGAATGCTCAGAAGAAAAGTCCTGTTTCATCAAGATAACGCCCGTGTTCACACGTCAGTACAGTCAATGGCTGAAATTCACAACTGTGGCTTTGAACTGTTACCGCATCCGCCGTATTCACCTGATCTGGCACCATCAGACTTCTTTCTGTTCCCTAACCTAAAAAAGCACTTGGGAGGTCAAAGATTTTCGACAAACGACGAGGTCAAAGCAGCTGTAGACGCATATTTTGACTCTAAGGAAGAATCATTTTTTTTCAACGGTCTAAGTGCTTGGAAGGGGAGGTGGCAAAAGTGTATTGAACTTGATGGTGATTATGTAGAAAAATAAAAATATAACTGATTTAGTATTTGTTTATTTTCTTGGTTAGGCCGAGTACTTTTCAATCCACCCTCGTATTATCACTTCCATTTGTTTTATAATATGTGCATTAAAATCGTGTATTGTGTCTTAAAGTCTAATTTACAAGACGTATTTTATTACTAGCTGTGCCCGCGGCGTAGCTCGCGTATACAGGTTTTACATAAAGAATTTGTCGTTTAGGTAAGAGAATATTAAACGATTTATTTCATTACTGTATCAATAAGTGGTAACTAAATAAATCATTATCATCAAAGTTCTAAGTCGTTTATGATAGAGCTTCTGTGTAAACGACGTTAGAAGTAGGCTTAGCCGGGGTGTACACTAAAAGGTTACGGGGGCTACTAACGCGGGAAAAAGCAACATAGAGTTGGCCATGTGCAAAACAGTCAGTACTGAGATCCACTCTTACAACGCGTAAATTTTGACATTGCGCTTTATTTACATAAAGATATTGCATAACACACGCTGACTGTAACTGGGAACTGAACGCGCTTAAAACTGAAAGGAAAGTTACTTCTTAATAGAGGGTTTTTTGGCAGTGCTGCCAGATCAAAAAAACTCATTCAGCGCTAGGACAACACAAAAAGCGCTAGATTTCATGAAAACAGCGCTTTAAAAAAGCCCTAGATTTCGCGCTAAATTAACTACAAACAAAGTTTGTGTTTTTTTATATAATCATAATAAGAAAACAACATTAAATATTTTTTCTGGCAATATTTTTTTGATGTATCAATACTTCGCAGGACATCGACTTATAATTATGGTAATTGCTGTCAACAGTAGTTAGTACTATACGAACAATAAAAATGTCATTAATTGTTTTAAAGTGCAATGTATTTCGCAACTTAGTTTCAGATGTCAGCATCTGATTGCGGTTGCTACACAGTTTCTTTGTGTTATAACTTCTAAGTAACTTTTAACTTAGCTGTGCTCTAAGCAACTGACTGAAACTGAATAAAGCAAAATAAATGCGTTGCCAAAACCATGAACGAAAACTTTAATAAAGGGGATTTCCCCGCTTATAGTCGTCGGTAAAAAAATCAAGTTGATCATCCTAAAGGGGAAGCCAGGAGATCCATAGCACAGGGTATCCTAGTTTGGACTCGTCTCCCATGCTCTTTGTTTTGTGGAAAAAATTTGTTTGAAAAAGATAAACTGCAATGTACTATTTGTGGGAAAAAATAATAAAGGTCATTATTATTATTATCGGTAATGTGGACTAACAGTGCTGCTATAAAAGAGTTAATAACCCGCTAGTCGCTAAAATATTGAAATGTGTGCTAAATACACCAAAAAGCGCTGGATTAAGCTAGGTGCTAAAATTTCGAAATGCGCGCTATACATTCCAAAAAAGCGCTAAATCTAGTTCCCAAAGCGCTAAAATCGCAGTACTGATTTTGCGTATATTATAAATACAATATCACGACATTTCGTTGCAAAATTTTTATTTTTGGTCGGGTTCCGTTGTATGGCTTCGATGGATACAAATTTCTTCAGTAAGTCTCAATACGATTCATCGGCGAAAAATCTCAACACAGCAATTCAGAAAAGTTTGTAATTTGTACAACTCCATCTATTACGTCCTTTGTGTGAGAAAACATCCTTTTTAAAACTCTTTTTGTGTTTTAAGTATAAATATATTAATTATTATGGAACGTTTTTTTTACACACAAATCTTTTTATTACTATTTCTGAGATTTTATAGAGCCATTGAACAAATTAGAACATACATTTCAAAATAATAATCATTACTTTCGATAGAATTAACCAATTTTAAAAAAACAAAGATTAAATGTAACTCGAAGATACGCTTTATGATTTTCTTAACGATTTCTTTGAAAATAAAAGATGTTTACTTTAGACGTGATGGGTTCATATAATAACAGACAAATAGACAGACAGACAATTCTAAAAATTATAAAATGTTCTTATTTAATTATTTTCAGTTCCCCATAATGATTTTAGCCACCAAAATATATATACAATGTACAGAAAGAGACACAACATGTTATCATCATTTTTATTATATGTATATATTTAAAGAGAGATGGCGCTGCTAACATCAATTCTAAAAATAAAAGAGATTAATTGACGCGATTGATACATTATATAAAACGCAAGAGAACTTATAAATCAGTGCCTGCACAGTAAGCAAAAAATAAAGTTTGACTCTCGCCAAAATCAACGCAATTGTTAATAGCTCTTTTAAAATTTGATTTACCACATAGAGTACTCGGCTACTCGGCGGTAAAGAATAAATTGAGTTTATCAACACGCAGTAGGGCAGCGAGTAATATAATAAAGATTAGCAGTAAATATGAAAACTCATCTACAGGAAAAAACCACATTGCAATTGCATTACATTTTCACAACACCACCATCTATCGAAGAAATGGGTTAACTATTGTGCTTCAGATTTAGTTAATAAGGTTAATATATTTTTGTATAATATATTTAATACGTTCTTTAATACTTTTGTTTACTGCGTTTTAGATATACATAATTATATCATTATTTTACATAATTTAACTATGATTTATGATATGATATTAGTTTAAAATGCACTTGATGACTCAAACAAAGCCACCGTTGAGCAAATTCGTACCTATACTTCCCTACCCATACTTCAGAATATTTATCATAACTTTTGATGGAATGGACTGATTTTAATGAAATAAAGACTAAATGTAACCCGAAGATACACTTTATAATTTCCTTAACAATTCTTATGATATAAATTAGTACTTTATACGTGATACGTTAACAAACAAACAGACAGACAGACAGACAGACAGAAAATTCTAAAAATGGTAGAAATGTATTTAATTACTTATTTTTAGTACCCCTCAATCACTTTTATTACAAAAATATAAAATGTACAGACATCTGCTATTTACAGTTTTATTATATGTATAGATTAGTGACCCCCTCCAAAATTACAGGCTGCGACCGCGCCTGCTGGGCGCATTGTTACTTTAATGTTATTAGAAAATCAACGACAGAGGAAAAATAGAAGAAAAGGCGTCTACTCACCTTGATGTCGTTGGGGAACTCAAGGACATTGCAGTCGCTGACAAGCAGTGGGGTATTCTCCTCGGTAAACTTTCTGTCCAGATTCCAACAACCGACGCCGTTTCTACTCAACTTTAAAATAAAGGTTTACTTGAAATGTTGTTCGTTATTGTTGTATATCAGAGGCGTGGTATGGGTGTGTAGCGTGCGTGCGTGCGTTTGTGCTTGTGTGTGCGTGTGGACGTTTGTGCGTAGTTGCGTGCGCGCAAAAGTGCGGTGTGTGTGTGTGTGTGTGTGTGTGTGTGTGTGTGTGTGTGTATGTATGCGTAAATGTTTGCTTACTTTTGTTTCTCAAAATGTCACCCGAAACCATGGCCTTCCTCCCTATCTCTTTTTGCTGCGTTAATTATCATAATAACTTGATCTACGCCAGACTTAAATTATTATCACTTGCATTATCCGATGCACCTTACTATTGTGCGATAAGATCGGAGGTAACTTTTGATGCATACCCAAAAACCAGTAAAATATCGCGAACTGATTCGAATGATGTTGATGGCTACGTAAAAGCAATATGAGAGATTTATAGAAATAGTAATTCCATGTTTATGTACTGCAGGGGTGACAACTGACAACCCATCTGCATTTTAATATTAATCGAGGATAGATGTAGACGTCTATGAGCCACAGCATCCACTTACCCACTATGAGACTGTGTACCCGTTTGTCACCGTTATTTTATATATAAAAAATAATTTTTATTTGTTCGTATTTAATGCGCTGCCATACCGTTCATCAGATTGCGGGAAAACTTTGTCAAATTATTGCTTGCACTTGCGCGAAGGTTATAGGCATAGTACCTACAATTAACTTACAGAAGGTGGTGCGCGTATCGCAACAACAAATTTATTTTAAAGTAATATGTCATTCAATTTCAATGAATGTATTAGTATTCCTAATTAAACAATATAACTCTTCCAAATTTAAAACGATATTTCCATAATTATTTCTTCTGCGGCAGCAACGCGTCAGGTACCAGCTAGTTCTATATAAAATAAATTTAAAATAACCGATAAGGAAATATATAAATGTGTAATTGGTTACCTGCGTATAGAACAACACGTTGGTGCCTTCGTCGTAGTCACACGCTGTCGATTGAGACAGAGGACCCCGCTCGCCCACGATCTAAAATAAAATCTTAAACGATTACATTTTCTACATTTAAATAAATCTAGTTTCTACGGATTCTATCGCGTTTATTACGTTCTATAGTGTTATATTAGGCCTAAGAACGTTGAACACCTCAGTCCCCCCCCCCCCGTGACCATTTGTGCTATATAGTTAAATGTGTAGTGTTTATGTAATTATAATAAATCATTATTTCAGAGACAGCTTTATTTATGAAATGTCGCTTAACAGAAATAAGATTGGTAGTCAAGGAATATCCGCCATAATGTCATAAAGTCCCAAATGATTATGGGTGAACTTTACATACGTGTACAACATATTTTCGAAATATTTTTATTGCTCAGGCGATATTTTATTCACCACTGAGCACGTGGTAAATTAACATTTTATCATCACCATCATTTAACTTTGAACTGTTAAATATACTCGTAGCTAACTCTACAATTAAAATTTGTAGGTAATTTTTATTGCTTAAAAGGATTTACAATTTTCGAAGTTCGAACTTTGTAACAACAGATAAGTATTAAATAAATACTTACCATCAGATGGATTATGGGCTTGTTTGTCACCCTTATCACAGAATAAATAATAGTACCCGTTGCGGCGTATGTTTTTGCCGTAGTAGCTGTGGGAAAGATGTACATAGCATACGACGCAAATGATGCAATATTTAGTACATTACAACACAAGTGGTAAAATTATAAATATGGTACAACCGAATTCAATACAAATAAAATAAGTCAATTAAATAGGCATGATTAAGGATAACTCAAAAACTACTGGTCAGTCCTGATCAAATTTATATGCGCCCACGTGAGAAGCACCAGCTTTCAAAAATAAAAAGAATCATCAAAAACATACAGTCAAATTGAGAGCCTCCTCCTTTTTAAGTCGGTTGAAAAACGTAACGTAACGTAAAAAGTACAAAGTGACTATAATTTGAATATCATCGAAGTAATCGAATAGACCTGCTGGTTCTTAGGGGTGAGACAAAACATTTGTGTTTGATTTAAATCGAGGATACTTATAATACTACTTAGGTGTCTATACATCACAGCATCCACTTACCATCAAGTAGACATACCTGTATAAAAGACCATAGTTAACATAATTATCATAATGTTAGGAGCTTTTTTATAGGATAAGGGTGACAAACGAGCACACAGTCCACCCGATGGCAAGCAGATGCTGTGGCCCACAGACACCAAGATGGAACGCCTCGTTTCTAGTAAAAAAAAGTGTGGGTAAATACATACGAAAAAAGAGACATCAAAAGGAAACATAATGGACACTTACTTTAATACCGTTTTGTATATCCCCTGAATTAACGTACGGATTTCGCAGCAATTTCGTCGAAATTTTCAACAGCCTTGTACTCGAGGTAGCGTGACAATACAAATCCCGGTGCCTTGAAAATTATTTTTTCTATTTACGAGGCTAGTTTTGTGGGACAATATAGGGAGTTTTTAAGTCAATGTTTACTAGGCCAATAACGACCACCGTTAATACGGGCCTCTTTGCTCTGCAGGCGGCTAGCCTGAATAGCAGCTTAATAAAAAAAACAGCTTAATGCTGCTGTGTTTCGTATGGTGTGCGTAGAGAACTGGAGGTCCCTTTTACTGGAAACAAGGCATTCCATCTTAGTCCTCACGGGTGACAATGCATCTGCATTTTAATTCTTAGCAAGGATAAATTTAGATAGATGTCTATGGGCCACAGAATTCACTTACCATCAGGTGAGGTGGACTGTGTGCTCGTTTGTCACACTTGTACTATAAAAAATCTCAGTGCTAGATCGGTCGCAATATTTTCTGGTATATACGAGATGGCATAACATATTTTATAAAACGCCATGACTTTGTAGCTATTTCGATAGTCCTTCATCGACGGCGTAGGTACTCGTAGTGACTATTTATCGGTCAATTTCCGTAGCTGCATTTATATTTTGAAACACCAAAGAAAATGCAGTTGCGTTTACAAGCTTTTAGAAACGAGTAAGCTCTTTTCTTTATGGTCTCTAATTCAAATTGTAAGTGACAGTAATTTTGACTACCTCATTGGTATTTTATTTCTTATAGAATAAAGATAACAAACGAGCACACAGTCCAGCTGATGGTAAGTGGTTGCTGTGGCCCATAGACATCTATAGCTATCCTCGTTTTCGAATAAAATGCAGATGCGTTGTCAGCCGTGAGGACTAAGATGGAATGCCTCTTTTCCAGTAAAAAGGGTCTCCGGTTCTCTACACTCACCATACGAAACACAGCAGTATTAAGCTGCTATTTTACGCTGGTATTCTGTGAGAGTGTGGTGCTTCCCCGGTCGAGCCGACCCATTCGTGCTAAAACTATACCAGTAATATAGCTGCAGCATGGCTCTACCACGTAAAAACTAGATACAGTGGTCGTTGACGCGACTGCTGATTATGAGGTCCTGAGATCGAATCCCTGGTCGGGTCAAAATAGCTATGTATTTGATTTTTCTGTCAAGAAATTCTCAGTAGCAACCTGAAGTCAGGGTACACCTGTGTCTGTGCTCACACCCGTGCACAATAACCCTGTTTTACGCAGAGGGTTAGTCTCGGTTGGGACCGGCCGCAGGGACCGAAATTTGGTCTGAAAGGCATTTTTAAGCCTGACTACTGCCGGAATGTGAACTGCAATTGCGAAGCCAAAGACCAATTAGAAAACAAAATAGGAGGCCAATTTGTATGCAATGCTACCCGATGATAGAGGTTTTTATTAATATAAAAGTTTCAACCTACATTGATAACAGGTCAAAGAACAACGTTTGTATTTAAAAATCATCTCTGTATAGAGCTCCAAACGGCAGTGGCTATTAATAATAATAATAAATAATACGTTTATTTCGGTAATCTTGTTAACAACATAATACTGATCCTTCCCTGTGAGTAATCAGAGGATACTCGTGTTGGGAATGACCCGCTACTTCCCTTTACGGATTACAAAAAAGTAAGATTACAAGTTTAACCTCTAGAAAATTCGTAATAAGTATATGTATATTAAGGAGTGTGTGAATGTGAGTGTAGGAGTGTTGTTGTATGTATGATGTGGGTGTGTGTGTGTATGTGTTGGTGGATAAAGAAAGTATAAGTAAGAAGACTCGTTGCCTATTGGAACCAGAAATGTGACTGCGACTTTAAAAACAAATACCTAACGATTCTGGGCTAGGTTATTTCATTCATTCATTCATCCATTTCAGCCATCATAAGTCCACTCCTAAACATAGTACTCCCCCATAGACTTTCTTATAGAGTGGATTCTGCCATAGTTGCCACGCCTGGCATGCCCGCAGTTTTTATTATTAAGAATTGTTGTCAGGAAGATCCTGCTGCCCATCTTCTATTTGTGTACTTCTCTTGCCTCTTATGACACCCACGGCATGATATGGGGTAGTGGATATTCTTACACAAAATATTATGGATATTTGTCTAATATGAAAGTTACATAAGTGTAATGCCTCCAGCATGTAGTCGAAGAACTTAATTTAGCGTAACATTTTTAAGAAAATGATAAAATATAAAAGTTTTTATCAATACTAACCCATCACTCTTCTTCTGCGAGAGGGCAACGGAAGATACTCCATCGTTCCAAAAGAACTCGACACCCCCTACTTTGTAAACGCTTGCGTTTTGCTGGTGTTGAAAAAGGGGGCTTTCGATGCGCCAAGTCATGTCGTTCCTCAAATCGTAAACCATGAGAGCACCTGAACCCATGTCCGCGATATACGCATAAGCGTTGTTGCAGTCCTGGTCTACTATATCAACAACCTGAAGTTATTATTTTACATAAGTAAGGGTAAAAAGTAAGTGTAGGTACAGCCTATTGATAAAATATTTGACGACTCCGTGGCGCAATGCAAGCAATGAGTTGTTGCACTGCGAGCCGCAGGTTCGAATCCCGCACGGAACAAGTATTTTTATGGCCTACGAATAATTGTTCCGGGTTTCGATGTTTGTCCTCGTGCAATTTATGTTTGTTAACTGCCTCCAATATACAGGAGAAAATCCTAGTGTAGGGATAACGGTTTTACACAAAAATAGAACTAGATTTACAGTGACCCCACATCTACGCCATGCTGCAGCTATATTATGGTTGTAGCACGAAAGGGTTCGCTCGACTGGGGAAGGACCACGTTCTCACAGAATTATCATCATCATTACAGCACTTCATAAGTTCAATGCTGAACATAGGCCTCCCCCAAGGAATGCCACAAAGAACGGTCCTGAGCCATCTGCATCTATCGACTACCTGCATGTCTTACTAGCCCGTCACTCCATCTAGTGTAGGAACACCCTACACTTCGTCCGCCTGTACGAGGCCGCCACTCAAGAACCTTTTTTCCCCATCGGTTGTCGGCCCATTGCCACTTCAGCTTACTCATTTTCACTGGCAGATAGCTGATGTCACAAGGAGTAACTTAGGCTACTTTTATTTTAGAAAAAGAATTATGGTTCCGCACAAAAAAATTAAAACCCCAAATAACACGCGGACGAAGTCCCGGGGAACAGCTAGTCAAGGATAAATGTAGATTTCTACACGCCACAGTATCCACTTACCATCAGGTGGACTATGCGCTCGTTCGTCACTCTTATTCTATTTTTTTTAAAAGGTTTACAAAATTTAAGATGTGTCAATTGCCACTTCAGCTTACTCATTTTCACTGGCAGATAGCTGATGTCACAAGGAGTTACTTAGGCTACTTTTATTTTAGAAAAAAAATTATGGTTCCGCACAAAAAAATTAAAACCCCAAATAACACGCGGACGAAGTCCCGGGTAACAGCTAGTCAAGGATAAATGTAGATTTCTACACGCCACAGTATCCACTTACCATCAGGTGGACTATGCGCTCGTTCGTCACTCTTATTCTATTTTTTTTAAAAGGTTTACAAAATTTAAGATGTGTCATTACCATTTTACTTTTATAGTTTTCTACTACAAATGTCACTACTTGGGATTGAGGTGCAGTTTCTTTGTTACACAATGTCATTTCATTGAGAATTTAGTTTTAAATAAAACTTTAATTAGTTCATACAAAATTATATGAATACACAAAACAATGTCTCAGTGATTTGCTATTTAATTACTCGTATTTGCTCATTTTTAAATCTTTTTTTAATATTTCTACTCTTAGGAATATCCTGAGTTTGTTTTATTCATTTATAACCTAATAAATTACTAGCGATCCGCCCCTTCGCGCGTGTGATTTCTAGATCTCGACAAAAGCGCCACCTACCGGGTCCAATTGTGAATCGTTTAGATCATCCAGGGACCCACTCAAGCAGACACAAAAAAGATCTTCAAAATCGGTCCTGCCATTTTAGAGTTTTCGCGAAACTAAAGGACAGCAATTGATTATTATATATAGAGAAAACTAATATTGCAAAACGAAATATTAACCTTTACATTTTCCTAATAAATAAACTTACTCGCTATGAAATCTGTCAAATATTCCACTTCAATCCAAAGTGGCACCGTAACAGAAAGGTGACAGAATAAGTCGTGGATGCTCTCATTGTAGAAAGCAAATTGGCTAGCCCCACAGGGGGAACAGGTACGCAGGAAGGGGCTAGTACGAGGCTGCTACTCGAGAGCCTTTCTTCCCCTTCGGTTATTTATTTATTTATTTATGTACACACAACAAGATACAGAAATAGTCTTGTACTGAGTTTGTACAAAGGTTATACTTTATTCCATAATTTACTGAAATATCTTCCAGCAGACCCACAAAGAAAAATATATTAAAAAGGCAAACTTAGTGTGTACAATACTACACATTAAAATACAAAATTTTACGTAAATTATATAAAATGATAGTATAAATAAAAATAAAATAATACCATAAATAAAAATAATACATACAATAGCTACTTATAATATATATAAACTAATTTATTAAAATAAAATATATTAATTAACTAACGAACTGTCGGTTCTTCGAGCTACAGGGCCATTGAAGCTTACTAACTCATTGGGCTATGTCGTTTACTCTGGTTCTATTACGGATATCCTCATTTCTAAATTTATCACGCAGAGAAACCCCGAGCATAGCCCTCTCCATAGCTCGCTGAGCGACCGTGAGCTTCCTCATACGGCGAGCAGTGAAGGACCACGCCTCAGATCCATAAGTCATAACTGGCAACACGCACTGGTTGTACAATCTTGTTTTCAAGTTTTGAGGTATACCTGAGGAGAAGTCGTAATCTTCCAAATCTGCCAAGCCGAGTTGAATTGGTCGATTGACCTTACGGTCGAAGTTGGACTTTTCTAGTCGAACTATGTGTCCCAGGAAAACATAGTCGCCAACAACTTCGAGTTTAGTACTACAAACAACTACCAGCATGGTGTTGGTTCGGTTTTCAGCTCGAAAATTGGCTCTATCTGGCAGACAGATCTCTGGCTTTGAAGACTTTGGAACCCTGGTTCCGCTCGATCGCTACTTCAATACGAGCCCTATTGAAGTTGCGAAGTCCCGCCGCATGCATTTAGAGTTCTGCCTCTTCAGACGCCTGTTAGCTGTCAATATCTGCTGAAGACTGTAGCTTTATTTCCCGTCTAACAGCCATGAGACTAAGAGTGTGATCAGAGAGTTTTTGTGTTCTTCTACAACGGGTCTTGCAGAACCTATCTCCGATCGCATGGACAGTTTTCACGAGCGTGTCATTCATATCGTCCACTGAATTGTATTCTTTTAGGAACTAAAAACGATTTTGTAACTCGAGCTAAAAGTTGTACTTCAGTAGCCACTCAAAATCAAATGGAATTTAACGAACTGTTTGTCACGTCTTTATAAAAAAAATACTCTAACCTACCATGACGGCTCTAAGTGTAATTAACGAGGAATAAATTAAAACTAAAGTTAAACATGAAAGGTACTTACAATATTGGTAAAAACAGAGGAGTCCCGCAACACTTCGTCGCTGAAGAAGTGCTTGTGTTTAAGACTGTGCCGCTTAAGATCAAATATTAGTATAGCAGGCGGAGCGATTTGTTGTACGTGATCTGTTGATAACATATTTTTTTCTTGAATGACTACACCACACTCTATAACTTCCCATTCGGTATCCTCAGAAACAAGATACGAGAGCCAGATAGGTTTAAAAACTATTGGTAAATCCAATTGTGTATGCCTTAAGCGCATTAAAAAAATACGTATAACATGATTATATGAAAAATTTTAAATTATATTACACACAATTTTTCACTAAAAACCTTATAATTATTACTATACTTCTAATTTTCCGATAATTTTATGTCAAATTTCAAGTTTAAAAAAAAAGCTCATAATGCTCATATGAGAGTGAAACCTTAAAAAAATGTAAATTGTAGTTCTATTCGTCAAAGAGTTCCAGTAGCAGTCACCGAAGTACACCTTCAAGTCACTCCATTAAGTCTGGAGGTAAAGTATCATCATAACTAACAAAACGAGGCCAAACTCGGCACATATTCCTACTCTTCGAGGAGTTCCAGTCGCAGTCATTGAAGTACACCTTCAAGTCCAGCAGTAAGATCTCATCACAACTAACAAAACGAGCCCAAACTCGCCACACTTATTACTACTCGTCGAGGAGTTCCAGTCGCAGTCATCGAAGTACACCTTCAGGTCACTCTATCAAGTCCGGAGGTAAGGTCTCATCATAACTAACAAAAGAGACCAAACTCGGCACACCTACTTCTACTCTTCGAGGAGTTCCAGTAGCAATCACCGAAGTATACCTTCAGGTCATTCTATCAGGTCCGGAGATACGGTCTTATCATAACGTACAAAACGAGGCCAAACTCGGCACATCTAGTTCTACTCTTCGAGGAGTTCCAGTAGCATTCACCGAAGTACACCTTCAGGTCACTCTATGAAGTCCGGAGGTAAGGTCTCATCATAACTAACAAAAGTGGCCAAACTCGGCACACCTACTTCTACTCTTCGAGGAGTTCCAGTAGCATTCACCGAAGTATACCTTCAGGTCATTTTATCAGGTCCGGAGATACGGTCTCATCATAACTAACAAAACGAGGCCAAACTCGGCACATCTAGTTCTACTCTTCGAGGAGTTCCAGTAGCATTCACCGAAGTACACTTTCAGGTCATTCTATCAAGTCCGGAGGTAAGGTCTCATCATAACTAACAAAAGAGGCCAAACTCGACACACCTATTACTACTCGTCGAGAAGTTCCAGTAGCATTCACCGAAGTACACCTTCAGGTCACTACATAAAGTCCAAGACGTATCATCATTGTCGTCATCATTACACCCCTTTAAAGTCCACTGCCGAACATAGGCCTCTCTCAAGGAATACCACAAAGCACGGTCACGCGCCACCTGCATCCATTGACTTCCTGCATGTCTTAGAAGGTCGTCACTCCATCTAGTAGGAGGACGCCCTACACTTTGTCTGCCGGTACGTATAAGTATATTTATATATAAATCCTACGTACTTTTAGCGACAAAATATTATAATAAAAATCTGTGATTATAAAAATAATAACCTTGGTCAAGTATGTATCAAATTTGGTTTTTGGAATATTTTGTATTTCTACAGCGATCGATATTTTTGCTGCCTATTACTGCTGCTGTAAGCAAATGATACAGCAATCCACTCACGACAAGAACAATGTGTATTTAGTAAAATAAAGGAATAATAATAAAACAAGGCTGCTAAAACACCGAAAATTTCGAGATTTCTCAGCCGAAATAAAAATTAATTATAACTAAACAAAATGAAATTAAACTGCCATTTACATTCCATGGCTTCTCACATGATATATGAAGAGATTAAAAAATATATTGAGTTGATCAATCGATATTTTCAAAAGTTATCGTGTTTACCACTCCATGTGGACTTGATAAATCTACACCATAAGTCACTAAAACCATTTTTTATATGTAAAAATAGCAATTAATCAATTTAAATAAAATTTTAATAAGTTTAACAATTATTTATCTTTCTGACAATATGCTTTTTATATCATTTATATGTTCAATATGATTGTTAGATACGATTTTATGCGATAAACGCTGGAATCTTGATTTTTAGGCGCTAGTGGGACATACCTACACGCTTCGCGCTTAAGGCATGCAATAGATTATAAGTATATTTAGTATTAACGTCTAATGGGGCTATAGTCCAGTGGGACAGAATGTTAGGTGATGTAAAAAAAAAATACATTAATAAAATTAATTTATCAGTACCCCAAAACAAAAAAGTAAAATCATAAAATGTATTGATATCTATGTATGTATTGAACCGTCGACGAGGGTATGAGTATTTTACATCATCTATTTATTTATTCTATATATTTATTTTACAAGTCAAATAATATAAGCTAACTAAGATGTAGAAGAGGAAAAAATACTTACTGTACATATCAGTAACTCCATTATCCACCACCCACAGTCTATCACATTTATCCACGTGGATCCTAAAAGCAGAGACCACGGTACTATTGGTGCTTACGCAGCACGCGTCGTCGGAAATGAACGCGTCTCCCCAACTCGGGTAAGGTATTAACGGTTGCTGCTGACTGCCGTTCACATAAACGTAGTTAAGCGATGAAGGGACACCTGGTTTCAATAAATGTTTCGTTTATTATTGCAGATTTACACATACTTAAAACTTTGATTATTTGATATTGGTGAGTGCAGTGGCGGTAGTACTGCATTTAATCTGATCAGACTTATAACCTCATGGCATATACGGTTCAACATACATACATATACATAGTGTCACGGGAATGGATATGCAGAGACCAAAGAGCAGCGAGCTACTCGGACGACGTTCAACCAAAAATGTTTGGGTTTAGATGGAAAATTTGTATGAAGCAGTGATGGGTGTCTAGCCCATCACCTATATAATCACAAACCAAATATCCCAGTAGTCGCCTTGTACATGCTTGCCAAGTAACACAGTTAGCACGTTCTTTTTTGCTGTAAGTCCCACATAAACATAGGATCTATTAGTCCCAGACTAACATGGGAAACCATACGGGTTAAACACTAACTAAAAAATATATAATAAACGTCAAAGACGAGAGAAGTCTGGTATTGCGTTAGTCAACCCGCCTGCCAAGCGTAAACTACTCTACAATGGAAGAGGCCCTGACAAGCTCGAAACAAAGTACAAGTATGGGCCTACACAACAATGATAGGCTTCACCAGGATATTAAAATCGATAGTATTAAATGTTTATACATTTCCCGAATACTTTAAGAAGTCGCTGTAGATGGAATTGACTACGAGATTATCGTTATCAATTGTGAACAGCACCTCGCCCCTATTACTCACCAGAGCTATAGAGTCGAAGCGAGTTTCGAAACACCACGTGGTAGAACCACGCTGCAGCTATATTATGGTTGTAGAACGAATGGGTCGGCTCGACCGGGGTACGATCACGCTCTCACAGAATACAAGCGTAAAATAGCATCTTAATGTTGCTGTGTTTCGTATGGTGCATGAAGAGAACCGGAGACCCTTTTCACTGAAAAGGAGACATTCCATCTTAGTCCTCAGGGCTGACAACAAATCTTTATTTTGATTTTTAATCGACGATAAATGTGGATGTGGATGATAAGGTGAACGTTATGCTCGTTGGACAGCCTTATTCTATTAAAAAAAAAACAACGCTGGACAACTATGGTCGGGCTAGTTTTCACAGATCTCTTTTTAACCAGACTGTGTACTTCGAACTCGTGCAGTGCTTGCGCCAATAACTAACTATTATAGTAACAACGTACCAATCCGGTAGCGAGATTAGTAGCACTTCTCCTGTATATTACTAAAATACAGACAAGCAGATTTGACACCTAAATGCGTTTACTGCGCATATTGACGAATATAAAGACCAACGCTTATTTGCAGTGCCCCTCCATCATCGTTATCATGTAACAAATAACCAATCGGATGACAGATTAGTGTTGCCTTGCGCTACTTATACCTTATACTCATACTCAAGTATTTAGGAAGCGTAAAAAGTTTACTGCGCATATTGGCGCATGTGAAAAGCCAGCACTCATAAGCCGTGTCGCTGGCTTAAATATAGAGAAGGGTGCTACAAAACTATGATAACCGACAATACGTATCGTGTCCTAAGATTACTGAACCTATTTAGGTTCTGTAATCTTACTTGATCAGACTTTATTTTAATTTTTGCCATGTCTATCGTTATTTAATCGAAATAGTAAACTTATGTCCACTGAGTTATTTAAATGCAATATCCATAATGTACGATATAGTAAAATCTAATGATAGATTTTAGATTATCACAAATACTCGGTTAACTAACTTGTTTCAATTTATCTATACTACAAATAAATAAAATTGAGGTGTCCGTTTGTAATGGCAAAATAACTGTTTTTACTATAAATGTATTATTAATATTTGTAAATGCATATGAAAGTATATAGTTACGGTACTTATGAGAAAAAACCAATTTTAAAAATTTTGTCTCTGTCTCTGTCTGTCTGTCTACTTGTTCCGACTAATCTCCAAAATGACTGGACCGATTCTGAGGAGACTTTTACTAGCAGTTAGCTGATTTTATAAGAAATAACTTTGGCTACTTTTGTTTTAAGAATAGCATTAGGTTTACACACAAAAAAATTAAAACCCATAAAATCTAATCTTAATAAATTCCACGCGAAGGAATTCGCGGGGAATAGTTATAGTAGCTAGTTTAAAATATTGTCTTTTGAGGACGTGCTAACAGTTTTACGGTTGAAAGGTAAAGGAGTCGAAATGTATTTCCGTTGGTTGGTAACGGACATATAAAACGTAATAGTGTGCTATTGGTAGAATTATTAACTATGTTTATGTAATCTAAAGTGATTTTAAGTATGACTTAAATATGGTGAAAATAGCTTTAACAGTAATACACCTTACTGACATTTGCACGTATGGCTTAGAATGTATGTAATTCTTATATAAACCAAAGTTATAAACAAAATTAAGCAAAATAAAGTAAACGGTGTAAACAAAATAGTTTTCGTAGTTGCGTTGTAGTTTATAAAACTTTAACGCAACTACTAAAACTATTTTAAGCCATCTTCAAAAAAGAGATCGCCTGTTTATGTTTTTGTATTTCTTTGTTTTCCGCGATATATTCATCAGTTGTGAACCGAAATTAATCATTTTTCGTTTATTAATTAAAAGGGTGTCAATAACTATACTTCAAGGCCAAACTCATATAATTTTGGAGAAAATTCCTAAAAAATAAATTTAGACCATTGAGTTATAATGTACTACGTATGTAGTACATTATAACTGATTTAGAAGACATTTTAGTGGTTACCTCTAACTTGTGATATTCCTTATTCTACTTCAAAAGGGTCAAAATAATAAACTTTTAATAAAAAATAAAAGCCAACTTCTAGGAACTAAAAAAAATAACTTTCACATAATCGAGAACGTCTTCAGCGGCTTTGTTTCTTCCATAAACTATGTTTTTAGCACCGATTTCAGAAGCAATGTGAAAATTATTTTATTATTTTAGTTCTTTAAACTCGCGTTTTTTTTGTCTGTTTCTCCTTCCCTATTCCGTACCTCTCTTCCATCTTGGTATGGTTATAAACAGTTTGTCTCTCCATCTCGCCAATCCAGTAGGCATATTGTTTTCGGGTATGTAAGCGCCAGACGCTAAAGCAGCTTGTTTATGTTCGCCATGCCATGCAAAATCTATTACTTTCCATTGAAACTGCGGCGGTAATAAACAAGCAGAAAATTGCATCGACATAAAAAATAAAAATAAAACACACTCTCTATTCATGCTAGTGGTAATAAGTTAACATTATTTCAAATTTCTTAAAAAAATGCCGGCCTACGCTGAAATCACATTTCAATTTCTCATTTGAATTATTTAATAATTTGAATATTTTAATAATTTATATAGGTAGTAATTATGTACATACTCTTTGATTTTTAACTCGTGACATTTGACAGACAGCTGCGTTTATCATCCTCAGGATTTGTGAATAATTCATAAAACAACTACGATTTCTGCCAGTTCAATCTACTGTAAGTCGCGTAAAAGAACTTCGTTCCAAAAAACACGCTTTTATTGTTAGCCGCACTAAAAAATAGAAAATAAATAATAGTTTAAAAAACACGATTTTGTGGATAACCGAACTAAAAAGTAGAAAATAATTTTCAATATGTTTAAATACGAAAATAGTCATTAACATAAAAAAAAATCATTTTATTGTAAAAAAGCGTCGGGTGCGATGTCATTTATTGTAAACATTTTTGTGGATATTTGTAAAATTAGCGTCATCATAAAAATATCTAAAAAGCACTGCTTGCTTGTACGCACGAAAATATGATTAATGGATGATGAGTTCCGCAAAGTTCTCAGCACCTGCAAGTTAACTGAAGATGATGCGTGGGACACAAAAAAGTGATAGCAAAAATTCAGAAATGCATATATCACCACCGCGTTTTATTAAAATAAAATAATTTACGAACTTCTACAATAAAGAACAACATAACTAATAATTTTTTTTAAATGAAGAATAATATCTTTACTCGGTTTTGAAATCAGTAGTTAAAAATATTTTTAAGAACAAAGCGTTGACGTTAAAATGAATTGGGGTTTTGGGGGGAAATCGACCGGCGACGGATTGTTGCGCCTGTATTATTGTTAAAATAATAGTTTGAAGTGGATAGTGATATGTAAAAGTGGCGCGATTTTGTGTATTAAATGTCTGCGCATGTGAATTATTAGTGGAAACGGTGAAACAAGTGCTCTGATGGTGAAGTGATTCTCAAGATAAGGTGTCTGTCTGCTTAAGCGCCTTGATATACCATCGCCAACTGTCAGTTGTCTGCTGGCTCAAGTTACCGTCAAAACCTCTTAAGGTCTGCACAATGTGATGTATCAACATAATATTGTGAAGCAGTGTACTATGAAGGATAATAATTATACATTGTAACTTCAGACTCAGAAGAACTAGAACCCAGAGCCGTAAAGCCAGTTATTAAAAAATGAAATGAATTGTCAAATGGCAAACATGCACTTTGGAAACTTACAAAGATTATAATATAAAGAAGACTCGACTTTAGCCTTTACGGTTTTTGAAAATATGACGAATTAAAGAAAATAAGACTTGGCTTCGGCCTTTATGGATTTTGAAGAGATGGAAAGAAGAAAAATAAGACTTGGTTCTGGCCTTTACACTTTAAAGTTCTATAAATTCAAAATAAAAAAGACAAGGCTGTATGGATTTGTTCCTTTGCCTGCTCTCCCGAGCAATTAATAAAAGCAACAACAACAACCAACTGTCAGCTGGCAGCTGTCAACTGTCATTAAATTTTGTCGTCACACTCACGTCTTCTAAACATATTTGTTGTTCATTACGCCCAATAAAATTTATACGTATTGGAAGAATTAATTTGTTGAACGCTTTTATTAACCTTGATTTACACATTGAAAATAAGTTAAGAGATCAATCAATTCGTGTAAAAAAATGTCACAAGATAAAGAAGACGCGGCCAATGGTGATAATGTTGCACTCATAGAGCAAACAAACGAAAAACGCATAGGTTGCGCTCATTATAAACGCCGAGCAAAATTTGTGGTATGTAATACTTGCATACATTTTGTTCAAAAACATGTTTCAATAATGATAATCATAACAAAAACGCACCGCAGAGTTCAAAACACTCTAATCTAAAATTAAACAGCGGCGACGCAAAATCCTTTGGAAACGGTAAGCGGTGCGAAATTAGAAAACAAAGATCATGTGAAAGAGCTTATACGAATGAGATGACATTGCTTTTGTCTGGAAAGGAAGCACCCATTCCAAATAAAAGCAATGTCATCTCATTCGTACACCTTACTTTTATATTAAAAAAACTGCTACAATGCGGTGGTAGATTGTAAAGTTGTAATTCCATCTACTTGTATTTAAGCACCTTATCCTTATCATTAAATAAAAGTATTTACTTTTATACTTTTTTTTTAATGATAACAATAAAGTGATTATGCCAGATATAGGTTAAAAACTACAAAAATTGTTATTATATAAGCAATTTTACTTCCTGTTACTCATGTTTCAATTATTTTGTATTTGTATTAGTAATTAGGCATGTAAATTCACATAAAAAATCGATCTCCGATTCAATTCAAATTGAACATACTAGAATCGACTCTTGATTAAATTGAGCATTAAAAGATCTATTTTCGATGGCTTTGCTGTCGTAAAAAATTTCAAACATACCTATTAATACATATAAGAACAACTTTAAACTTTAACAAAAGTTTAAACTGCTATGTACATCTGTCGATAAATCAAATTGAAGTGAATGCTAAATGAACACAATACTCTTTATTTTATGACTATAAACTTTAACATAATATAATATTTACTCACAGTAAATTTTTGATAAATAGAGGAAATTCACAGAACAGATTGAGCTAGATGCTGGGATCCACAAGTTAAATTAGAAATGACAATAAGTGACAACTTTTTTTTATTAGTTAGTAGCATATATTATATGTGGTAGAGTAATGCTGCAGCTATATTAGGTGTAGCAAGAATGGGTCGGCTCTGTTAATACCACACTATAAAGAATTGATTTTTTGTTTAATCAATTACAGATTAACATGCCTATTAGTAATTTGCACTTTAAGATATTAATAATTGTAATTTATTTATTGTTTTTTTATACTCTTTATTGCTTACATTAATATTCATTAACAGATAACCAACTATATACTAATTCTATAATAACTAATTCTATAAAAACCTTATATCAGGGACAGCATCTATTCTAGGTAGATTTTTTAAAATTAAAACTATGGAAGTGCATACATATAAGCTATTACAGAGTATAAGAGAAACAGATAACATATGTCATTAACTCACCTATACACACAAAGTTAGAAACTGGATATATGTATAAATATTATATTATTACAGGATGTTTTACTGTTAACCATTTATATAGTTACTTATGAATTGCCACTTTTCAGACACCATGCTGCAACAAGTTTTACATGTGCCGCTACTGTCATGATGAGAAGGAACAGCATTATTTTAACAGAAAGTCAGTGACAGAGTTGATTTGTACCGAGTGTGACACAAGGCAAAAGGTGCAGGCTGAATGTGAAAACTGTGGTGTAAGGTTTGGAAAGGTAATTATTGACTGCTAAATACTGTAACTAATTTTATATTTTACTTTATTAGGAAAAAACAGCATATTAATTAAAATGTGTTCTGCTAAAAAAAAAAAAAAACAGAATATAATAAGCAAAAACAGTTTTAACATTTAACATTTACTGTCAGATTTTCAGACCTAATAAGATAGCAATAAACCATATATTTTACATGAGACAGGGATTTTTCATAAATTAAGTGACAAATAATCTCACAGTACACCTGATGGTAAGTGGGTGATGTGGCGCATAGACATCTACACCTATCCCCAATTAAAAATCAAAGTGCAGATCCATTGTCACCCCTGAGAGCTAAGATGAAATGTTTCATTTCTAGTAAAAAAGGTCTCTAGTTCTCTACACTTACCATATGCAGCATTAAGCTGCTATTTCATGCTTGAATTCTGTGAGAAGATGTTCTCTTATTTTATCTGTATTTTATTCAGGAAATTTGCTTATAAGACATTTAATGTATTTAGTTTGTGTTTTGAAGTGTTAATGTAAAATTTTTACAATGTCTTATTTATGGCTACTGCCATTCTTCTCATTCGAACCAAACAGGTACAATTTGTTGTTTGTAATACATACAGCAAAGGTGTGAAATAATTTCACAGCATTTGTCTTTGAGTTCAACAGATATTTCAAGGTTAGAGTAAATAGGCTTCTGTTAAGCTAAGTTATAATTGCCCTTTACCCTCTACAGCTATATTACCACTTACCATTAGATGATATAGCTGTCAAGCACTGGCTTATATATAGATAAAGACAAGTTTATGTCATTCTACAACATGAACTTTTCTTGTGAAAAACTTTAAAGTCAATTGAATACATGACCACGCCTTGGAACCTAAGCGATGCAAGCTCAGATAATTATTTTAGAAATGCAGAGCTATGTCTTTATGCACATAACAGTATGTCACTTCTTAAAAGTTATAGTTAAAAAGGCCTCTTATTTCTGAGAGGGTTTCATTCAGATTTTTGAGGGGGCTACTTATTAAAACATTTGTAAACAAAAATACATCATAATGCCTTCCTCTTCAGATAGATGGTGTGTAAAATGAAAAAAGACGTTTAGCTATACAAAAGATGATATTACTTTTTATCAGTAAGTAAGAAATACATATTTTTAGAATGACAATATTATAAGTAATTACAGGCCTCAAGTCAAACTGGTGGTTTGTTGTAATCATGCAGCCATTTTGTCCCATCGCCCGAACATGATATAACCTTGCTGCATAGACCAATCACAGTTGTGATATTTTTTCATCATCAGGCCCGAACTAGTGAAATGTGTATTTAGAAGTAGCTCATCGTTCCTCAAGTGTATATATTCCCTGATTCTAGTACACATGCCTGATCTGCAACTTGTTTGACGACGAGGACAAGCGGCAGTACCACTGCGAGGGTTGCGGCATCTGTCGTGTCGGTGGCCGCGACCGTTTCTTCCACTGCGAGCGTTGCAATATGTGTCTGCCAGTACAATTGCAACGCGTTGGTCATCGGGTGAGTTAGTGTATAATGTTAGACCTTGTTTCTTATATAAGAGGAGGCAAACGAGTAAGCGGCTCGTCTAATGGTCAGTGACTATCGCCGCCCATGAACAACTGCAACATCAGGATAATTGCAGATGTGTTGCCGGCCTTTTAATAAAGAGTAGTTTCTTTTCTTGAAGGTCCCTAAGTCGTATCAGTCTATTCCACAAGGAAATTAGCACAGATAATTTTATGGTGTTTTCCATTCCTTTTGAACTTGCAGGACGAAATTATGTGATGGATCCTCTCACGCCCTCACTACACGGAACAATATTAATGTTATATAATTAACTACTTGCTACTACTAGCTTCAATGAACTAGTGTCATGTAACTCTGACCGAGTTACATAAGTTAAACAGTGTTGTCTGTTCGCCAGTGTGTGGAGAATGTGTCCCGGTCGAACTGCCCGGTTTGCCTGGAAGACATCCACACGTCCCGCATCCCGTGTCACATCCCGGACTGTGGGCACCTGCTGCACCGGCCCTGCTTCGAGCAGTTGCTGCACTCTGGACACTACGCCTGCCCCACATGTCAGACCAGCATGATCGACATGTCCAATGTGAGTTTGTACCGAAAACTGTACGAAGTACAGTACATTTACGTCAAAGCACGTGCAGTCAACATTTACACGCAGATCCAAATTACTTAGTTTTGATATCGCAATATCGATCGGTCACCAACTATATTAATTGGAAAAAAATGGTCCTTCGAGCTGGATATAAGCCAGCAACCAACGGGTAATAATGACTACTCGCCCCAGTTTTATTCTTTTATTTCATTACAAAATGCCGACATTTATAAACTTTTTATTTCCAGATTTTAGAGTCCAGATACTGATTATACTTTTGACCATGTCAAACAATAAGAATTTATTGTAATATTTTGTTTCAAAAGCATCTTCACAATATGACGATGCGTCATTTTGAGAAGTTCTTTGGAGATTTGGCGACAGTTAAATCCAACGGATAGATGACGATAGATCTCAAGTTCTTAAGGCACATAAACGGACAAAATTACTTAAGGTTTACATCACCATCGGAGCACTGGTTTCGTCGTTTTCACAGTTCTCATGCGCAGCACTTAATACACAAAATCGCACCACTTTTACCGAGCAAACTCCATTTCAAACCATTATTTACACCATAAAACGGGAGTTACAATCCACCGTGATAAAGTTCCCTACAAAACTTAACGTGTGTTATTGTTTTAGTTAATTTTTATTTACTCACCATACCGACCCGATTAAACATATCCTCGCGCGGTAATAAAATTTAGGCCAATCATAAGTGACGTAGCCGTGACGTGCGCCTTCGTAGCATAACTGGCTCTAACGTACGCGCCATATCTATTGTACTTACTACTCGCGCAGATAATGAATGGGATTTTAACTGAAGTCTCATCTATTCACCTTTCGATTGCACACCGCCGATGTCTATACTCACACCCGTTAGTAATAACCACAAAAAATTACGTAATTTATGGGTTGCCATAAGCGTTTTTGTGCTTCTAATTTCAGGCCCCAGTAACAAACATAAATGTCCAATATACTTTTGTTTTAATTATGAATTTGTTTTATGAAGTATCAATTATTAAATTAACAAAAATTTATAATATTATTTCTTAATTGATACACATCCCTACTTAATATTCAGTTAATAATGCATGTATTTAAATTTCAATTGATTTTAATATACTAATCAGTTTTTTCCAATAACTAATAATTTTCAAATACTACAAACAAATATACTAACATAACGTTTTAATGTATTCATTACGTTATATCGTTATTTGTAATATAACAATGTAACATTGTGGCGTCGCTTTTCCTTCCACGGCTAAAACATTATAAGCACCGCTTTCGCTTTACGTACTGTGTATTATACTGACAGTGTAGGCTGGACGAGCCGTTATATCTAATTCCAAGATTTCCACTGTGTCGTATCTACCATTACCTACTTATATTGTACAAAACTGGTGTCGAGGACATATTACGTAAATTGTAAAAGTTTTAAACCATTTTATCAGGCTGATATGAACAATTAATTTTTATGTAGAAATTATGTTACAAATTTAGCATTGCACCACTCAAAGACCATCCAATTATCTATTTTTTATTGTTTTTATCATAGTTGTGGAGTTACTTGGACTCCGAAGTGGCGGCAACGCCGATGCCCCCAGAGTATGCTGATTACAAGGCCACAATCCTGTGCAAGGACTGCCACAAGGTAAGTATGAAATTAACGTGGTAGAGCCATGTTGCAGCAATATAGTGGGAGTAGCACGAATATGTCGGCTCAAATGAGGAAAGACCATACCCTCACAGAATACCATCGTATAATAGCAGCTTAATGCTGCTGTTTCGTATGTGGACTGTGGCGAATTGGAGACCCTTTTTTACTGGAAACGAGGCATTCTAGTCCTCAGGGGTGACAACGCATCTGCATTTTGATTCTTAATCGAGGACAGATATAGATGTCTATGGGCCACAGATTCCACTTGGCATCAGGTGGACTGTGTGCTCGTTTGTCACCCCTATTCAATTTAAAAAAAAGGTGTGAGTAGCGATCCAAAGCAAGTCTCGTCCGAAAATATCCCGATGATACCCCCGGTCGAGAATGGAATTACCGCGATGAATTGCTGCAGAAAGCAGTTGGAATACTACTTATGATCAGAAGCTCTTCAATTCCGTTCTCCATGGTGGCAGTATTCCGGAGGCGTGGGGAGTTTTTTTGAACCGAAGCAACCGTGTTCTCTTGTTGGTCCACCACTCAAGGGTCTTGTTCTTCCAGAAAGGTGACACCGCTCTATGGAAGAACTGCAAACCGATTTCCCTTTTGAGCCGCGTCATTACGAATCGTTTCGCTTGCAGACTTGACGACTTTCAACCTCCAGAACAAGTCGGTTTTCAAAAAAAAACTTTAGTACTAATAAATACATTGACTTCCTAGACCATAGACCACATAAATACCTTTTTTTTTAAAAAAAAACGTTACTCACACACGAGGATTTTCTCCTGTATCGTGGAGGCAGTTTACAAACATACATTGCACGAGGACAAACATCCAGACCCGGAACAATTATTTGTAGGCCATACAAATACTTGTTCCGTGCGGAATTCGAACCCGCGGCCCCCGGCGCAGCAACTCATTGCTAAGCCACTGCGCCATCAAAATACTCTTCAGCAAATTGTACAAAAACTAAAGAGTACATTCTGCCATTGCCTTGCGTGTGTGCACTATGAGAAAGCCTTTGATTCCGTCGAAATTTGGGCGGTGCTGCAGTTATTCAGCGGTGCTGTCGGTATATCGAAGTGTTGAAGTGCTTGTACATTAGAGCTACGTTGGCTTTCCGACTACACAGAATCAGAGTACGGAACCTATCCAACTGCAGAGAAGTGTAAGACAGGGTGACATTATATGCCGGAAACTCTTCGCCGCTGCATTGGAAGATGCTACTGGACCAGATATTATACTATATTTAGTCCAGTAGCTATATTATACTGGATAGAAACGGTATTAACATCAATAGCGAGTACATTACTCACCTTCGATTTGCCGACGATATAGTTTGTCTGCGTGACAAACTTAGAAATGAAGACATCCGCATAGAACCAGAGTAACCGACATAGCCCAACGGATTAGTAAGCTGAAGTAGCAATGGATCGGCCATATAGCTCGAAGAACCAACAATCGATGGGGAAGCAAGGTTCTCGAGTGGCAGCCTCGTACCGGCAGGTGAAGTGTGCGGTGGCCCTCCATTAGATGGAGTCACAATGTTCAACAGTGAACTTGTGAAGGGCTGTAATGATGATGATGATGATTATCATCAATATAACTATATTGATGATAATCATCATCATCATCATTACAGTTGGGAAACTTTAATGAATTGTTTAATTTGTTCTGTATAACTATTTTTTTTTCAAATTATATTTTTATTTTTAGTTATCAACGGTAAAGTTTCATGTGGTGGGCCTGAAATGCCAGCATTGTGGAGCATACAACACTTGCCAAACAAATGGTTTCCATAAGTAAGTATGATGCGGTAGAATGTTGTGGAAATTCAGATTTATGTACATTTTGGGATTATATAAGCTTTTTATGGGCACGGAACATTATAAGGGGCACGGATAGATATTTGAAGGAGGTAGTCGAATTTCTGTCCGCAACAGGACTTATCTAAATAAGTCTTGTTGCAGACAGAAATCCCTTCCTGGGCATCGCAGCACCTAAATGCTGCGATGCCCAGGAAGGGTATCCAGTGGAGTTCGACCCTTCGGCTTGCCCACCTTGGGGCGGTATTTTTGAGGCGGTGGTTAAGGTTGCAAGATCTGATGGGGTGCCTAAGGTGGCCTAGGTTGTGGTTGTAGATTCGGTCTTGCCGTCGCGACCCTATCCAGTTTGCCAATTTACTCGCGGACATAAGTCCTTATGTCCGGGACGGGTGTTTGTTTAGGCCCAAACATGGTTATATGAAACGGCAACCAATCGCGTTTGACTAAGTGCATCACCCGATGGTGTCGAGGTGAGGTAAAAGCCGCCGGGGGGGGGGGGGGCCGTGAGCCTGCCCCGTGATTCCGGCCGGTGGGCTAACACTGTAGCTTGATAGCAGCTGCGCGGTCGATTATCGTATTTTGGTGACCGCTGCATCGTTTTCGCGCGACCAGTTTTTGGTTTTGTGGTCTAGAATTTTGAGTCTTTGTGCGCGTTTAATTTACTATTGCAGTTTTCGCTTCTAGTTTTGGTTATCTTTAGTGCGTTCACGCATTAACGAAGTAGTAATATTTTGATTGATTAACCTAAATTCGTTGGCAAGTAATTTACGTAAATTGTATAGTGATTGCTGGTTGAAGTGCTTGACAATATTATTTTGCGTCGAGTTGCTTGTGGCATTTGATGTAACTCGGAGATATTTTCCTGTGTCGGTTAAAAACGCTAAACTTTGTGAACCGCGAGAAACAGTGTTCGTATTAGATTATAGATTTGTGCTAAGGGACGCTAGACTCTGAGTGACATCGAGGTGACGCCGCTGGAGGATACCACACCGTGTGGCGGTGCCGGAGTCAGGGTTGCTGACGCTTAAAAGGGTTACGTCAGGTTTCAAAAGTTACACACCACTAAACACCACTTACATACACTACACCTACCGCCTGACCGAGCCTTGTGGCCAGTCTTCGCTTCTGAACCAGGTACGTTCTTATTAATTACCTAGCCTTAAATTTGTGTAGAATAATAAGTCTCCATAGGCCGTTGGGCCCCACCCTTAGTTGTCCGTCGAATCTACCGCTGATGGGCCCCGGGATATTTGATCTTTGTCGGGGCAGCTAGGGGCGTGTACAATCCGTCTGGGTAGGTTTCACCCTTTTTACCCTTATCTGTCGCTAAACAGTAATGCTTACACCCGAAATGCATGACATCCTATCTTAATCCTCACAGATGACAAGGCATTTGTAGCAGCATCCTTAGTGTGAAGTTGGCTGTAGGTGTCTTTTTGGGCAGCAAATCCCACATTGGATTGTAACAAGTTTTTTTTTGCTGTACCTACTTAAACATCATGATGAGTGTAACGCCGTAACGGTGGTAGAGCCACGCGGTAGCTTCTGCTGTAGCTTGGATGGGCTGGTACGAACCGGGGAATTATCACAACCTCAAAGAATACTATTGTGAAAAAGAAGCTTTGCGTCTGGTTTTCGCTTGGTAAGTGCAGGTGACTGGAGACCCAAACCCCCATAACATGGTAGCGGAATTACAAAATTACAAGAGAGGGTACCAGCACCCCTGCTAATCGGAATGCCTCATTGAGCATCGCTTGGATGTTACGTTGAGGGGATGCAAGCTACTCTTCCTGAGCGTAGGAGCTCAGGCTGCCCCTCGTAATCTGGGGGGGGGGGGTCACTACTAATATTGCAGGGGTCAAATAGCCATAAAACTACGGTGACTCCTGCCATGCTACCCGTGGACTTCTGCAACATCGGGGAACTTCATTCGAATCTTAATGGCGTCCACTGCCGCCCGGGACACAAATTGGAACATTGTGCCCTGAGCTGAAGTTTGCGTATACGTCAGAGAGGATATCTGTTTACAGGTGCTTCTATAGGTCCCATAGTGGTAATGTTGACACAGGTCGACTCATCAACTAGATCCAAATGGCTACAGATTCCTTGCTACAGCAGATCCCATCCGAGAATGTCGTGATCTTTGGCGATTTTAACGTCCACTACGCCGAATGGCTCTGTTCACGTTTGACAGATCTTGGCATATAGTTTGACACAATTGGTTACTTACTTTGCCTATGCGGATTCCAGATGTGGAGGATCATGCACCTACCCTGTTGAACTTTCTGCTGACCTCTCATTCGGACGGAGTTCAAGTATTCGTCGACGTCCCTCACGGCTCTTTGTACCATTGTCTGATCCGGAATTCGGTACCACTCACGCTCCCATCGCGGGTGCGGTCTGCACGCGGTCGCCGGTGTTTGGCATTATAAGTTCCCAGATTGAAACGGAATGCAGTCTTTCTTTGTTTCCTACCTCTCTCCGGATGATCCCAGCGCTGTTGCTATTTTAGTCAAACTGCTAGGAAAATTCTGTCACTGGTGTGGTGCTTCAGATCATAGAACTATTCATTTCATCAATTGTGGTACCCATCGAGGCAAATTTCTTGATCACTCCTGTAAAATTGCATTATGCAGTAAGCAGGAGTGTTATCAAGCCTGGGGTGATGCTTCGGCGGCGCGGGATGTAAACACCAGCATTCTTAAAAAGAAGTATAACCTCAGCCTTCAGGTTCTTTATAAGAGTTATTGCTAAGGCAAGTTATGAGCACACTGGCAGAATTGGCGAGAAATTAGTTCGGTTTTCTGTGGGAATCCGTGCATTCCAGAATCACGCTAAGGTTCTTTAAAGGATTTTTTGTAAGCCATCATTTCCATCTCTACACAGGGTGGAAGACTCGCTGGCCCACGTCGCAAGAGAGAGAGCTGAACTACCACCAGCAATTTTTCGGATCAATATGACTTAGGAATTTCCAAGAAAAGGACCTTCTCTTTTTTAAAAGCTGGCAACGCACTTGCTATTCCTCTGGTGTTGCAGTTGTTTTTATACGTGGTTGACCCATGCTGCAGCTATATTAGTAGTATAGTTGTAGCATGAATGGGTCAGCTCGAGTGGGGAAGGATCACGTTCTCACACAATACCAGTGTAAAATAGCAGCTTAACACTGCTGTGTTCCGTTTGGTGAGTTTCGTGTAAAGAACCGGAGATCCTTTTTACTGGAAAAGAGATATTCTATATTAGATTTTGATTCTTTATTGAGGATAGATGCAGATGTCTATGGGTCACAGCAACCACTTATCATCAGGTGTACTGTATGCTCTTTTGTCACTCTTAAAAAGAACGGCCTGTGTCCGTAGGGAGTCGAGTAGCACAGAGGCGGAGGAGGCGTCAGCTTCCAGCGGCGCGGCGTCGCCCGCGGCTGCGTCTGCGGGTACGGCTAACGCCGCGGCCGCGAGCAGCGCGCGCGCCGACTGCGAGCTGCAGCGGCCCTCGCCGCTCGACGAGCCGCCGCAAGCCTGACGCACGCGCAGCACACGCAGCACACGCAGCACACGCACGCCGCGCCACCCGGGGAACGAGGGACCAACACTGCGGCTGCCGGGGGAGGAGGGGACAAGCGTTAACACCGTCTCCAACTATAACGCCTCATCACCAACTCGACTTACCTCGGCTAAAGTAAGCCATTGAAATGTGAACTTTATTACCTACTATATACAAATCATTTTTCTAAAATTAAAACCAAATTCGAGAAAATATCGTATTTTAAACACCATAATTAATGTCTTGAAATAGTACATGCTAGAAAAAATCTACTACACGCAATACTCAAAGAATTCATAGTATTTTATTTATTCCCGACGTTTCGGGTGCTTTACATCACCCGTGGTCACGGGAGACGTCGGGAATAAATAAAAATAAGCTAAATTAATTAATTAAACGCGAAAAAATCCGTAAAAATAGTTTTATTGAATTTGATTCTTCAAACTTTTCGTCCACGAATAATGTCACACGCTTACTTCGTGCAGATCAGATATGCATATAGCGAAAAAGGAAGAAAATCCCCACCTTAAAGTGGTGCGTATTTCCGTTTTGCACACTAAACTCAATCTTACTATGGTAACTATTCGAGAAACTAATATAATTGATATTTTAATTGTGTTCTAGACTTTATTTTACTACAATGTAACTACTAATTCGTCTGCTAAAATATAATATAATCTGCTTCATATGTTAACATTTTGATATTATTAAAATTTAAAATATTTAAATTACTTTATTTATTGGAATAATAAAATTTATTGTTTCATTGTAAAAACGTACCTACCTACCATGCTTTAGGTTTTCCGCTAAATTTCCACGAGGAGAGTATGTTGCAGCAAAGATCAACATTTCAAAAAGCGCAAATATTTGCATTTTATTACCCCCTCCCATTTATATTACATACAACAACGATAAATGTACACTATGTATAGACTTAACTCGTATTGCGTGTGTAACTTATGTCCATTAATATACTGCCTTAGGATTATGTTAGTGTTGAGATAATTACAAGTACGATTATATGTAAGAATAACATACATTTATATTAATATACAGGGTTATTTTTCAGAGACTAGCCAAATAAGTTAAAAATATTATTAAAAATACGCGTAAATAAGCTTTTCACATTTATTGGAAAATACAAATTGAACGTGATTTATGTGCAACAACTACAACATACGTGTGTCAATGCACGGTGTAGTTTCCACACGTACTGCCTTACTCTGACCTCGAGCTGCATAATCGGTAGGCTAGCGCGGGGGTTTCACTCGATAAACTCGATCACTGTGTTTTCGACAGCCGGGCTTATTACTGAATGACCACTTTGATCACTTCCGTGACGGAGTGGTGAACTGTGCAATGACAATAAGTTAAAAAAAAATTCAACACATTTTAAATATAAAAGATAAAAAGAACAAAATTTTGAAATTTTTTCTTAAAATTTTTTTCAACATTCGCTTACCTTAGGTGATACCTATTCTGAACCTCCTCTGCAAATTTAGCCGGTTATTGCAAAATAACCCTGTGCAACATAATATATATATATAGGGTTATTTTTCAGTGTAGCCAAATTTTAAACTTAAGTTGAAATATATAAATAATGACATACCTTTATGGCAGTTTTTGAAAATTCGAGTAAATAAGGCTTCTACTTTTATTTGAAATTATCCCAAATTGAATGTAATTTATGGGCAACAAAGTTTTTGCCTACCAATCAACCCTTTACGAATGCGTGCACAGTAAAATAAGTTTAAAATAATGCATGACCAGGCATTTTGAATTTAAAGAATAAAAAGGGCAGAATGTTTGAGATTTTATTTAATTAATTTTTCTTCACCATTTGCCTATATTCCTCATTCTGAACCTTTTCTGCAAATTTTGGCAGTTATTGCATAATAACCCTGTATTGTCTTTAAATCGTTGGTGCTTATGCTAGTGTTTGCATAACGTTTGAGCGAATTGGCCGATTGAGGTCATATAGACACAATTTGTTGAGACGATGGTACATAGTTATTCTAGAATCCGATAGATGGCGCTGTGGTCAAGTTATTAGCAATCTTTGTACTTATGGACCATAATGACTCATCATCATCATCATTACAGCCCTTCACAAGTCTACTGCTGAACATAGGCCTACCCCAAGGAATGCCATAAAGCACGGTCCTGAACCACCTGCATCTATCGACTTGCTGTATGTTTTACCAGGTCGTCACTCCATCTAGTGGGGCGACTAATATTCATATCCACAGCATATTATAGATATTATTGGTTTAGTTGCCATCTGTACCCGACAGGTGGCCGAGTTATTAGAAATTAAATTTTTAAACTAAAAAGCCCGGAGTGAATTTCGAATTAAATTCATTGCGTCTGTCGGTTTCGGCAAGTCTGGCGAGCCAGCTAGTTTGTTACATTTTATTTTATTAGTAAAAGAATATTAAGGAAACATCTCAAAATTGTGTGATAATAAAAATTAAGACCCACAGTTGAGCACGACCCTTTTCTAATTATTTTAGATGGTGATAGCCATAATTAAAATTTTAATAAAAATAATTGTGTATTAAAGACAATAAATATTAGTGTTGTTGTCTGTCTGCTGAGACTATTACTTAAATATAAATAATTCGATGATAATTAAAAAAAAAAACAGCAGCAGTCATAAGTACTGTCGACAGAAATGAAAACTCAATGATATATTCGTATACATGTGCGCCAGAGTAGCCGCGTACGCGTAGTAGATATGCTCGTGACGTATTGCGTGCAAGCATTATCATGTCGAGGTCATCGGTGACGCGAACCTATAAGCTTTTCCCCTGCCCAAAAATCGTTTATCGCGGCTAAAGCTGTTTTCACTTCAAAAACAATTAAAAACCATTGATGTTAGACTAATAAACATTGACAACGATAATCGTTTACGTTAAATGAAAAGAACTAACATAATATGAGAATTTAGATGCAATATGGTTTTATTAAGTATTTTGTACATAATGTAAGGTAAAAATAGCTTAGTTCGCAAATTTAATAAAAAAAACCTGTTGTACTTTATAATGCTGTGAAATAACTGCTGTAACTGCTAACTTTAATTACTACTTATTTGTAAAATGTTTATTTAAGTTTATTTAATTTATTAATAAGTTATACGTTATTTGTTTGCTTTATGCAAAATCAGTTTTTATGCTATTAGCTATTAAGACCTTATACCGATTATATTAAAGCTTCTAATCCAGTGCTAGATAAATCAAACATTATTAAGATCAGATATAATAATTTTCGGAATTATGTTAAAAAAACATATGATCATAAGATGAAAGTAAAGTAAAATTACAGCCTGTATACGTCCTACGCCTGGGCTCAGGTTTCCTTTCATTTCTGAGAGGGTTTGAGGCAAGGAAGTGATCACCGGCTGGCCCAGTAAGTATTGGCAGACTTCACATCTTTTCGAAATATTTTATTTTTAATTTCTTAGATATGTGGGTTTCCTCACGTTGTTTTCCTTGACCTCCGAGCATGTGATAAGTCAGTACTTAAAATTGCGATTAATAATTTCAGTGGTGCCGGCGGGTATCGAACCCGTGTTGAATGTTAAAATTACAGCGAGTGCGTAGCCCTTGAGCTACCACGGCTCCTTTACTTATTTATATATTTCAATAATCGATATTCCACACTTTATAGGTACTACTTTTCGTCACTGGATTTAAAAAAAGAGCTTTGTGGTTTTGTCATGCCAAAATTAATTTAAAACTAAATTATTGTTTATCTTCAAAATATAATAGCCGTTGAGATACATATTTGTGATTTATTTTTATTTTTAATATTTAAGTTTATACATTCTTTAGCTGTCAAGACCAAATTATTATTTTATGTGATAAACTTTATTGTTGGTTTGTATCTATGATGCTTAGAGATTTAAACTATAATCATATGTATTACTTGTAGTATAGTATATCCTCATTTTCCCTGGCATCCTTTTAAACTAAGAATATACTCATAATGCAAACTACGTCGAGACAAAAGTTACGCAAATCAAATGAAAATTCTTCATAAGACAAAATACAACAAATTAAAAATTATATTTGTTAAATTGTCAACTCTCAAAATGTTGCAAACGCAGTTTATCGGTCAAGGACAATGGTCAGGGCAAGTGCCAACTCAAGGTCGCATGTATTAAAGACTAAATGCCTCCGTGTAATACTAAAAACAAGATTGACGTCTTGATACTTTGCTTATTTTTTTTTACTAATTTAATTTTCATTATGAGGGATGCCAATGATTTCAACTTCATCCTCTATATACAAGACAACTTTTGTTGTTTCAAATACAAAAAAGCTTCTTCTTATGCTTTTCATAGTCGATTTCGACCATAGCCAATAACTGCCTAAATACTATCATTGTTCAAGGCATAATACTCGTAGTTCAACTAATGTGCGTATTCAGAGCTAGTTGACCCTCAATACGCGAGATGTATAAATTTAAGAGACCACAGCTTACGCGCCAATTAAACATATTGACTGAAAGAAATAACTTACAAGCATACATTTACCCGTCTTATTTTTGATTTTTTATTAAACTTTGTTCAGTAAAATGTTATTATAAAATTATCCTAAATAATAAAATTATCCTAGCGTCCCGTAACTCTTGCGCGATAAGTTTTGGAAGTAGACTTGAAAGCATTATCTAAAACGGAACAGTCATAATAAATTCACATACACACACATAAGTACAAAAAAAAATTTTTTCTTCGCAAATGTTCGTTGCGACTTGGATTAAATATCCGCCGTAGAGATGCTCAGATTCAGAAATGAGGTCGTTAAATGTACAGCTATCAGAAAAATTTGTAACTGTATTTGTATTATAATAATAAAATAAATCTATTATTAAGTTAAATTGTTTTTTATTTACTATACATTTATAGTTTCTAATAAGAAGATTATACTTATATTTTACTATATTTTTCTAAGAATATACACTACCCCATGTGATCC